TTTTAAGTAAACAAAAGGCCACATTCAAGCAGCAGAAGGACAATGTGTATCCTTTGCTCTCGCTTCGCAGACCTTCATTTTTAAGGTGGCCTGAACAGAGTGTTTTAGGGCAGCAAACCCTGGTCTCAGGCCACCTTGACTTTAGCTCGAAGAACTGTCTGTTTTAGCAAAAGCCTTGTCACAGAGACACCTCAGGACCCTTGCTTCGCATATCTTCATGTTTGAGGTGGCCTGAACATATAGTTTCGGGCAGCGAGCCTCTGATCCCAGGCCACCTCGAATTTTGCTCTAAAAACTTTCTACTTGAACGAATGCACTCCCAATCATATGACAACCAATCGTATGTTCAACCAGGTGCAAGGTCAATGTAGGTCAATGTGCATTTTTGGGCTTTTGCTTCATCTGAATGTGGATGGGAATTATCTATGTGTGAACAGAATTTTTTTTCAAACGAAATTCAAGGTGGCCTGGGGCCAGGCGTTTGCTGCCCTAAAACCATTGTTCAGGCCACCTCAAAAATGAAGAGCAGATTCAAACAAGGATACCTGGATAAGGCCGCTCCTAAAAAGACCTGCTACAACAAGGTCGATCGGGGGGGTGTGCGCGAACGTTTATCGAGCTAAATGCAAGTCGTTGTTGGGTCCGCGCGCGTGAATCTTTATGAAGCTAAATGCAAGGTGGCCTGGGACCTGGGGTTTGCCGCCCTCAAACACTATGTTCAGGCCACCTCAAAGCTGAGCTGTGCTTGGCGAACGACATTAGTAGGTCGGGGGGGGGTGGCCCGAGAAAGGTATACGTAAACTTTTGGAGGTGATGTTTTAGTGATTTTGGAGCGGGTGGTGATGCAAGAGTGCATTTTTTTGGAAGCGCTGGCTTTCGTTTTGCAGCTTCTCAGGTAGGTGCCGTTTTTTGAGTTTTACACCATTACGGTAGAGAAACCATTTGCCATGTGTCCATCTGCATTCATTTGTGCGCGATCTGCGTCGCTCGAGTGGGTTGACAGCAGCATCGCCATGTTTTGCCATATGGCGAGGTTCTTCGGGTGATGACTCATGGGAGTTGCTCAAAGAGGATGATGTGGAGCTACTGCCAATGAGGTGAAGAATACCGTTGTATGATTGATACACATCTTATCATCAACGCGCAGCCACGCAGCTTTCACGAGTTATATTAATCATTAATCCAAGCATGCCCAGGACCGATATTGCCAACAGCTGACAAGCCCAGCTGGCCAAGTAGGATGTCTGACGAATCCATGAGCTGTAGTCTGAAAGAACTACGCTGGGAAAGATCAGAGGGCACTGCTTTGTCCTTGCGTGTTTTGTGAAAACATCTCAGAAGTAGCCCAGCTTGGAGATGATCGATTTCTTTTACTGACGTATTATTTCCAAACCCTGTCCCGGCACCCGAAGCCAGCTAAAACCCAGGATCAAACAGACTCCAGCAAAGCCACAGCATCTTCCATTGTTTTTTCCCCCACTCGTACCTCAGAGTGCCATCATATAAACCCTGCTGGTTTGTGGGTGCTGAGTTGCAAAAGAACCATCATCCCCTGCTGGCAGCAGTCCGAAGTACCCTATCCGCGACACGTCTTTCACACCGCCAATCTGGCGCCGATCAGCCATGGGTGACGTCCTTCGAGCAGCACCAACAGAGGAGATTGGCAATTGACGGGTTTTGCTTAGGATGATTTACCATGTTCATGGATGTTTCCATGAGTTTCCCGACCTTGTTGAATCCCCTGAAACTGCAGGATATAGAATTTGTTTTTTTTTCCCGGCTTCCGAAAGCAGCAAAACCAAGATTGACTGGAGTGAGTGGAGTGGTTTGAGCTGTGGAGTGGTCACATCATTCACATCTACCCTGGTCGCGCTTGGTAGGATGAATTCTTTATGGGTGTGTCCCAGTAAACCAATAAGAGTCGGCAAAAGATGAGTGATCACTTTTTTTTTGATGTCAGCCTGCAACCTACAACCATCATCATCTATACTGGGCTCTGGAAATAGGATAAGTTAGATTCATAGAGTAGATTATTGTAGAATATAGATTGATCACCCGGACATGTATTGCAATACCCAATCTTTATGTCTAAAAGACCCCATGTCTTATCACACCTTCGCACTTGTCGTCATGTCCTCATCCTTATAAGTGAGGGTTGGTGAGGGTGGGCGAGCAGCTGGGGTCTGGTCCAGGAATGGCTTCCAAAGGGATATCAAAAGGAAGCAAGACTTTGCAAGGTGATCAGCACTGTGATCTTAAATCTAATCAAGAACAAAGCAAAAGGACATATTGTGTTTCCATTTTCATTGCCTTAGAAAGTCTCTCTTCCGTGGCGTCATTGCACCAAATTACGAATTTCTTGCGTTCACTGTCTCTGGGTTGAAGTCAGGGCCCTGCTTAGTGTCATGATTGAAGTCAGCCATAAGGTTCTGCACACACGCAGAAAACTCCTCAGGGTGTGACTTCAACCCAGACGTAGGCAGCATAATATGTTTAAATACTGCCCCTAGAGCCGAACAAAGGCCCATCGAATAGGCCTTCAGCTTTCATGTTGCCCAACTCCCATCCTGTTCTTTGCCGATAGCCTGCGCTCTTGGCAGTTCCGAACACCTGTTCTCAAAGAGGATCTGTTCCACCTCTTTTGTCACATTGGTGAACATCAGCTTTGTTGGCTTGGGAGTATCCGCCATAATGGCCTTGGAGCACTCGGACAACAAGACAGTTCGCGAATCGCTGCAACCGCCTCATAACGATCAGGCGCCAGATTGACGCGGCTAAAGGGTCATCTGGGTCATTTTCTGGATGTTCCAGGACTCCAATTGCCCCGCTCACAATGGCAGCGAACATTAGGCGGATGGCAACGCCCAGTAAATCGCTTCCCAACGAAACTTGCAAGGCTTCCTTCTTGGTCAAGTTGTCGAGACCGTGTGGTCTGGCCCCCGTACGCACGACACGTGGATGTCGTTTGCCTGGCACCAAAACTACTCTGGCTTTCGACCAAGTTTCGCAAGGAGGGCCACGTACAATTCCGCGTATCCAGCGATCTATATATGGCTTTCTGGAAGAAGGGAAACGTGTCGCCTCGTAGGAGGTTTCCACGTACTGGATCGAATATAAAAAGGACATAAGCCAAGATAAAACCAAAGGATCTAACATGAACAACAAGTAAAGGACTGCTGGGCCGGTGGACCAAGACGGAACATCTCCAAGTGATCGCGACTTTTGCCAGGTCTGGTGCTGAATACCAGGCTCTCCCAGGGTAGTTACCCCAAAAAACTTTGGTCTCAAAAAATTTTCCACGTAGGGTGTTTTGCTCAGAAAAGTAAGGAACCTGGACTCTAGACCTTCAAATTAAAGGCAACCTTGCAGGTGGAATTCATGAGTAGGCCTTCATCATGTCCTGTGCACAAGAAACTTGCCCTTCTTCTGCATGGCATTGGTCGCTACGGCGTTCGGCGGACCAAACACGTCTTCCAGCGCCCAACCCGATCATACCTTCTTGGGCTCCTCAGCACACCGAGCACACCGTGGTCTCTCTCAGGGTCCCATGGTTTGGACTTAGAGGGTCCCATGGTTTTGACCATGTGGCCAATCAAAAGACAATGGAATAACAATGGGTGTTTCCATTGTCTTTTGTTTTGTAGGATGTGGCAAACAAAAGACAATGGAATACATTTCAATCCATTGCGTGTGACGTTGTAGCAGTTGAAGATTTGAGCTTCTTGAATACTATTATTCTATTGCAATGTTGGGGTTGAGCTGGTTTCATAGTCAGGGTTTCTACGCGATAGATAAGGTTAGATAGATAAGGTTGGTTTGTGTTTGCGTCATTGTTCACCACATTAGATGTTTGGGACCCGTTGATCTGTGTAGCAAGTTGGGGACCTTGAATGGCCAGATCATGCCAGATACGAAGGTTTGCTCGGAATTCACTAATTGAATGTAGTTAGAGCAAACACCACGACATAATGGTGAATCTACAATTAGGTAACTGAGTTTGCTCATAACACCACTACTAATGTACCACGACCCATTGCCTCCACCATCTGTCTGTGTCCAGCCAGCCAGTCGCCAAGCCACCCAGCCCACCCGCTCAGCCACCCGCGCAGCCACCACTACTTCAGGGACCACAACCAAGAAGTGTCATAAAGCCATGCTGGTTTTGGAATGGAAGGTATAAAGGGTATATACATACGTCTACGTTCTTCACCCCTTCTTCACCCCTTTACGTTCTGCGCGCGACCCACAGGAACTGAACGGAGTTGGTGCCGGGATCTCTTTGTACGAGCTGCACGAGGCGGTGGAGAAGCATTTCGAGTTGCAAGGCGCGGCGACCGCGGCGAGGGTTTCGCACCGGGAACTGCGCGTCGAGGTGGTTTCGCTTTCGGAAGTCAGTGAGAACGAGTGACACACACACACATTATGTGTTTGTTGTTGTTCTTGAAGGTCACACTGGGTACAGATGTGACCACTGTTACCATGGGGTGTTTTCTATTGTTTGTTGTTTTCTATTGTTGTGTTCTATTGTTTTGTTTTTCAAGGTCACACTGTACCATGTGTTGTTTTGCTTTGTCTTCTTTGTTGGGCCAAACGTCTACATAAGTCTAGGTGCATATTTGCCAAGCAGCCTGACGCGCTAATGGAGATTGGTCGCACTACAAGATGCCTGCTCTCTAGCTTTGGCTGAGAGAAAAGCTTTCTGCAGCAGAGCAGGGCAGCTGCATTGTTCGACACATGTTGTTATTGAAACTAAATTTATTCACAGCCGTTGGAAGTGCACAGCAACCAGACCTTGTTATATAAGTATGTATATTTGCAGGTTTGAGTTGTCGCAGCTCATTCGTGAGCATTGCAAGAGTGGATCAAGTGGGAAGGTGTGTAACTCCTCATTGCCATTTGAGCCAGAGCCAACGTCGGATCTTGATACATCATTACACCGGTTTTTGACAGATGTTAGTTGTTTTGGTTGTTTTCTTTGTCTACATTACTGTATCTAGCAGAATGTTTAGAGGTTAGTATGCAAGCTGCAGGAGACATAGACATAAAGACGATTGAACTTATCACAAAGAGTCAACTGTTTCAGCTCTTTACTGCTCTTGTTGTTTGCTCAACCTCTCAAGTTTCTCGCGGTCAACATCCGGCACTTATAAGTCTGTTTGGTTTGTGGACTTCGTCGTGCTTCATGGTTGACTTGCCCACCAAAGGACTGCACATTATCCCAAAAAGATCCCAAAAGGAGTGAACGGCAGTGCACATGGCGATGACCGACGGGTCGCTTTGTTCACTGGACGGACGACGGATGGGACGGCTTTCCTGGCGATAGGTGAACAGCTGCAGCGAATCAGTCTTCAGCTGGAGGCGTTGGAAGCCGAGTCTGACAGAACGTCATCCTATATTTACCCATCCAAAGAGTCCATATACCTCCTTTTCGGATGGTCGAACGGAGGTGAGGGTTGTGCTTCCTGAGAATGGTCGTTGCCGCGATTCGGATGCCATCCGAGCAACGGATGGTGCTGGACCCTTGGGGCTAGGACAAGTGGAAGATTTGGCTTTCACCTTTTTGTGAGGATTGGGGACACCACACTGAAGACGAAGAGGCGTAAGAAGGTTCACCTTCACTTTCTTTTCCAGGGAAATGGTTCAGGACTGAGCCGTTGGAGAGGACATCATGGTCAAGAACAGATATCAAAAGATGACACCTTCAGCACCTTCTTAGCAACCTGTGTGGGATTGCTAAGTGACCTTTTCCAAACTGAAATGGCCCATGCATGCACTTTAGGAGGGTTGCCATTGTATGTTAACATCCCCCAATAGCCCTAAGCAATAGACCCTATGTGTTCCCTTCAAGCCTTCCAGGAAACAATGTTTCGTGTTGAGAAGAATGGCTTCCTGACCCTGGCAGGATTTTACAAAGTGCTCACCTGTTTTTGCTTTCACCTGCAGGAATTTTCGAAGCACAACTCTTGGACCGCTCTTTCTGTTTGTTTTGGGTCGGGAAGGGTGCTCACCTTGCAGATGTAGGGAGGCCACGCAGGCCACAAGTTTCGGCACGTCATGATTTCAGTGTCGCGCTTGGAGTCCGGGCGCGAGCTCGCTCCATTCTCTTGGCTCTATCTCCATTTCCCTTCTTTACTCCTGCTCCAAATATAGGTTATAATCCCAAGTGCTGGTGGTCTTGCTTGCGCCAGAATTGAGAGATGATCCAAGAGTTCTTTTCGCGTTGCCGGGCGAACTGAGCGGGTGCTTGGACGTTGGTCGCTCCTCTTCACAGGCCCTGGCAGCGTCGCCTTCTGCGCCGCAGAAGAACTCCGTTACACTGAAGGTGCGGGGAGTGCTGAGTACACCTGGCTGGGGACCCCAGAATCCTGGCTGAGAGCTGAATCCCCACGCGTCCGAAGAAATCCGAGCGGACGCTGAAAGGGTCGGTGGTTGTTGTTTTTTTCACCTGGAAAGTCATCCTGTTTTGGGCACTGTTTTTCAACACGTTTCTGCTCAGCTTGGATTTTTGCTGCCTCTTCAGCCTGGTGCACCAGTCTGGTCTTATACTAAGACTTGGTGCTTGTGTGATGCTTTTTTGCCTGTTTGCCTGCCTGGCTGCCTGCCTGCCTGCCTGGCTGGCTGTGCCTGTTTGTCTAATCTGTCTGTTTGTTTGTGACTTTGCTTATTCGTTCAAGTACCATGAGAGGGGAGGTCAATTCTCCATCCGAGCGAACTCGAGGGAGGGCGATCCGCCTCCAGTCGACGCTTCCGACCCTGGTGGACTTGAGGAACGCCTTGGGGGTCGTTCCGTGGGGCCCGTTCACGGGCCTTCCCTGCAGTCTGGAGTGTTTCCCAGACATGGAACTGCTATAATACAGTAGACCGAGAAAAAGGGCCAGGGGTGGTCGATTTCAGAAGTCACTTCGGGTGGCATTCGGCATATTCCAGTCTCATTGTAAGCATCTTAAAGGGACATCGACATGGATATGAAACGCACACACATCCGTTTTTTTGCTATGTCTCTGTTTAAGTCTTCCGTGCCCTTCCCATCCAAAGTCTAGCTCACATCCTACTCCTTCGTCCGTTCTCGTCTCTACGTACCGGTGCCTCCGTGCCTCCGTGCCTCCGTGCCGGTCTTTACCGGGTTCGTCCCACCGAGGTGAATCTGAAGACCACTCGCTGGATGTACCCCAGCGGGACTCCCTCCAGGCGCCCCCCCCCGGATCGCCTGGGATCGGAACCGACCGCGGCCCGACCTGCGCCACGCGCGCGAGGGTCAGGCGGAGCGTCAGTAGCGTCATCGTGTCGCTGTCGCGGAAGGCGTGACCTGCACAAGAGCCGCGTCGGACAAAAGTCGAGTTCCGCAACTGCACATCGTCGGATTCCGTATACTTTCTGCCGGGGAATTAGAAGGACATGAATTGTTTCATCAGCATTCTTTAATCAGATTCACCGCCAAGATTGTAAGGTCCAAATAATAAAATGCTGATGTAATCTCTGGCCTTTTATATTACAATGAAATTACTTTTGGAACATTATATGGCCATAATACATAATGCCTTTCATGGCAATTGACTGCCATCACCAAAATTAATACATATTAATTTTGGAGGGATATCTTCATTATTATTCATGATGAAATTCCTATATTCTAATTTTATTCATAGAATTTCATTAATAATCGGCCGTTGTCAATTGAATAGAACAATGAGGAGGAAGAAGCCAACGGCCTGACAATAAGACCCTGAGCACCATCACTGACTTGGGTGCCACAGGGAAGAGACAGATGGGCCCCTTCTTGGATTTGGGGCCCCCTGCTCTTGGCCTGGCGGTTGACCTCTCATAAGCCATTCATTTTGATGACACCTTCATGTCGCTTCATCCCTCTCTCGTTATCGTGTTACCAGAGGCACCGGCCACCAAGTGCCACTCAGTTCGTCCTTCCAGGGGGTTCCCCGTGGTTCCTTCCACCGCGCAGGCGCAGCGGAAGATCCTGCGCGGTCGCCAGGTGAGTCCCACTCCACCGGAACGCCCGGGCGCGCGCCTCAGCGCGAGAACGGACGAATACGTCCGGGGCGAGGCCGCCTCAGAGAGGAAGCGGGGCTGGAGCTCTAAAGCGAAGTTATTGTGTTTTGTTTGTGTCATGATGTGTGGCTTAATCACTAGGAGGGCCAGATGTTGTTTTCCTTTAGCTGGTTGAGACTAATTGGGAACTTCAAGGGTGTCAGCATTTGCTGTTATTTTTTCATGGTGCATGTTCATTATCCGATCCGGCAAGTGTTGAAGGTTTGGAGAGTTTAATTCCAGTATGTTCTGGTCGAGAACTTGACTTCTGGATGATTTTTGCTTCAGGACGGAGCGGTCGTGTGCTCGGAAGATTCATACTGTCATCCACTCCCTGTATGGTATATATACCGTAATCTCCCAGACCAGCCTTCTATGGAATAGTTACATGTTTAACCGCAATAATAATAGTAGGTAACTGTTCTGTACATGGATGGGGTCTGGTGGTGGTTTCAGGGTCAATGGAGTCAATCCAGAGGCTTTCGGGATGTAACCTTGCGATATTGTTTGAACCTTTCAGCACAACGGTGATTTGGCCTCCAAACATTGAAGATTCTGCTAGTCAGAGTACAGTCTGCCCTCACACCTGCTAGGAAGGTCCTCTTTGAATTCGTTTTCTGTACAAAAAGCTTCAAATGCAAGTCGTTTGACAAAGGACCTGAAATGTCACGGTGCAGTCACAGTTCGGGTCCTGGTGGTTCTGAAGGGCTGCGGGTAAAAGAAGTCCTTTCACGCAGATTCACAAGGTGCACTAACAAACCCAGCAGGCCTGATATCAGTTGGATCGCACTTTGAAAATCATACTAATCAGACAGGACATTTGCTACACATCATTGAGTTTAATCAATTTGAGACACGCCTAGCTGCCTGGCCTAGCCCAAATTGTGCTGGGAAAGTGAAAGGAGTCCAGGAGTCCAGGTCCAGGCAAGTTTGCTTGTTGCAAATCTATTATATATTGGTCCTCAATAAATATATGAATTTACATGAATTTGCTGGTCCAATTTCTTTTCTTGGATCACATAGGCACAAGGCCGCTGGACCAAATAAATTGGCAGGTGGACCTCAGAAATTTGGTAGGATGGTTGAATAACCAAACACTGGCCTAGATCATATTTAGTGGTTTGCAAAATTGAGTCCTTCGCTTGAATTTTTAGGTTCTTAAAAAACGGATCCACAAATGAAGTCCGTTGAAGAGCTAATGAATACGTTTATATGCACAATTCGAAGACTGATGAATGTTGAAGGATTGCTGAATGCTAACTGAACTACTATACAATTCTATAGCTGGGTCACTGATGATGACTATACCATATAGTCATCTAGTCGATGATTCAGCTTTAAAGTTTTAAGAAACATCTAAGAACACGCACATCGCGGATTTCTCGAAGCATCTTCTCGGACGATACGAGCCTTTCCCTTTCGACGCGCCCAGGCCGTCGGAACCCTCGCCCCGCGGTCGTCCAGGTGACCGCGACGGCGACTCGTGCGAGGAGACGCCCGAAGCGCCACGGCCCAGTCCCGAGGCCGTGAAGCACCGAAAAGCGCGTTTTTTTTTATTCGCCGACACCTAAGGGCATTGGTGTTTGGTATAGTTATAATTGTAGTTTCTATAGCTGCTTGTTTGATTTGTATTGTCTTTTCCCTTTCCTTTTAAACTCGTATTGTCTTAGGAGACATGGATTGGTTCATCCAGATTCCGACCATGAGAGTCTCTTCGAGTCGAGTCCCATAGAGCATTGCGAGAAGACCGGAAAGACCTGATGGCGTTACTCGAGCTTCCAGCGAGGTCGTGGCACAGCCCGTGTTAGGCAGTGCAGTCACTACTGTAGGCTCCAGGCCATGAGGACTTATAAACTCCTTATAGATGATAGTAAAGCAATGGTTGGAAGGGATGACCCGGCTATTAATTAGATCAATGGTTGGCAGTTGGGTCCCGCGGTATTAAAAGTGGGGGTGTCAGTCAACTCATTCTCTACCCTATAGGGCTCCAAGTACCTCCTTAGAAGGTATTTGGACCTTCCAAACCCACCCCAAAATCCCAAACACCTTCTCAGAAGATTCAGAAGGTACTTGTAGCCCTAGGGCTAAGGTTTAGCCGTTGATGGGAAGAGGTACGTTCATCTAGATTGGTGGGAAGGGTGGAGGGGAATCTCAGACCTTGTGACTTGGTGGTATGAAGATGCATGCACATTTAACAAAAACAAGAACAACAACAACTACTACTGCAACAACAACACCAACACCAACACCACCACCAACGACAACACCAACACCACCACCAGCAGCAGCAGCAACAGCAACAGCAACAAAAACAGATGACAACCACATCAACAGCAATATCAACAAACTAAACAAACCAAGTCAAAATTCGTAAATTAACTACGATGATACTGAGCGATGCCAGGCCTCCGCGAGCCTGCGCATCGTGGAGCGCTCTGAAGAACGAGTCCGACTGAAACGCCGCCGGGCAATCTCGATGTGCTGTGATGTGCTTGAGTCATGCCTGGCACCTCCCCCGCCAATCCATGGGTGAACCGGTGTTGACATCCCTGGTTCATTTGATGGAATCTGTTCATGTGATCCGGGGGCCGGGCCGGGTTCCGGAGTTGTAGGTGGGAGACCTCCTGGCCCGGTAGACTGGGTAGACTGGTCTATTGGTCGTTGGTTGGGAGGTCACACCGATGTCACACCCCACATGCACTGCGGCTGAGAACATGACGTGCCTGGAGTCCGGAACTCACCCTGGACATGGTCTATTCTCTTTGGGGGGAAAGAACCAGGGTCCCCGGGCTGTGTTTGATCCACAGACATGTTGCGACTGGAGCTCGGGTTCATCCAACATCATGAAAAAGCTCTGCGGCTGCTCAAGGGAACCACTGCTGCACAGGACTTCACTGAAAAAGGATCAGGTCTTGTTGTACCACTGACTTGTGATTTGCTTTCCTTGTACCCTGTGTGCACCTGCAAGAGGCTTGGGGCCAGTTGATGGATGTTGAGGATAAATGAAGATTCTGAAGTGGGTTGACAGTTCGTGACTGAACCGGTTGGGAAGTGACGTGTGGTGTTGATTGCGAAACTGAAACTACTGGCTCCCCCTACCTCCGCTCGTGAATTCATGCCTCGGACCTTGGGGGGTAGGAGATGTGAAAGTGTTAAGATGTGTTAAGCAGTAAAGAATGCACACTATAGGATACAATCAGAATCCATCAGAAATACTGTAACATGAGATGTATGACACCTGACAACTTAAGACATATATAAGTCTTTTTCTGAGGAATTCTACACTCCAGTCTTACGTAAACAGGGAGTTCCTGATACACAGCCCTCGAACCCGGGGGATTGGCTATCGCGAGGTGGGCTTCGAAGACCCTCTTTGGTGCGGACTTCAACTGAGTTTCAACTCAGAACATCCTAAGAGACGCCCGAACCGTGTCAACCTATAGAAGCCCAGGCTTAGCCTAGTTCCTTATATAAAAGGCATCGTATGAACCTAGAATAAAGTCAAGTTCAGAAGTGGTGACACTTCTTAGTTGAAATCATGTTTGATTAAGCTTTCTTGCAGACACCACTTCTGGATTTCCCAGCCACCCTTCCCATCCGATTCCTTCTCTTCAAGCTCCTCAACAAAGGAACGAACAACGCCGTGCCATCCGCCCCGCGTCATGCACGGCCATCCATGCCTTCCGCGCCGTTGGTTGCAGCCATCAGGTCAGAGTCAGCACTCGCAGGACTCCTCCTGTTTACCGTCCCTGTGCTCCGATGAACCCGCGGAGGCGCCGCCGCGCGGAGCTGGGACGGCGCCAGCGGCAAAAGGGCGGCACAGCACGTCGACGGGCAGACCGATCGGGACAGGGGACAATGTAGGTAAAAATGTTAAACAATTAGGTACATATGAGCTTAAACATTGGAGTGGATTTGGGTGTTATTTGAAGGGGTGCATCGGTGAGGCGATGCGTCACGTGTCAGTTGGTTGGGGTTGTTCTGTCTCGGGTTTGGGGATGCGGTGTGCAGCGTGCAGGCCGGTGGTTAAGTAAGCATAGGTCGCAAGTCGCAAGGACCTGTTCTTGATACCGAGAAGACATGGAGGTGTATTCATGAGCATTTATAACGAGCATCGTTGGAAGAAGAATCTACTTCTGCTTCAATCCTCAGGTATCCTCAGGGTGTTTCCTCAGGGATCCTCAGGGTGTTTATTGTGTTATAGACATTGCAACTTGTTACAGTTTGAAAAGAGCTCCTCCCACCTTCAAGAGCCTTCTTGATCAAGAGCCTTCTTACAGAACCACCATCAAGAGGCTTCTTACAGGACCGCGCAGCCCCGGAAAAAAGCAAATCCTTACATGTACATTAAGTTTTTTCAAACATCAGAAATGGGACACCGGGATATTTGCTTCTTGGGATATTTGGTTTGGCCCGATTTGATTCGTGGCTTCACGGTGTGTCTGAAGCGGAGTTGCCACCCCGTTCGTTTCCACGGGTCGGACACGGCCAGTTGTCACACCGCATGAGCCGCGAGAAGCCGGCACACTGGGCCACCACTTCGACCAACACCTTCGTTGGGCAGGAGCCGCTCCGCTCTGCGTTCGAATTAGACCACGGCGCGGGGGGGGCACTTGAGAAGAACGAGCCGCAAAAAGCTTGGTGAACTTGGGTCAGCTCGGGGAAAGCGGGGGCTGCTCTACAATGATTGAACATATGCTTTTTTTATATGGTTTGGTCATCAAAATGCTGGGAGGAGATGAGACCGAAACTCGGCGTGACCGTCGGGTCTGCCGGGTCGAAGTTCATGGCCTATCGGGCCCCGGAGATCGTGCTTTGGTTTCATGCACAACGTGGAAAGCACAACGTGAGTGAGATTGTTTTGGTCCACTTATTCCAACAAAACTCATTTGGACAGAATGGATACAGGATGATACAGGCATGTGTGAGATTCATGGTGCTCAAAATTGGTTGTTCTTTGGCATGGAGCAATCTTGTGGCGATCTACTACTGGCGATCTACTACCCAGGTTCTGTAAGCGAGGAGTTCACTTGCTGCAAATCTTGGTCTTTGGGGCCTAGTGAGGCCTCGGTTGCCGATCGAATCCTGTGGAATTTGGAAGTCAGAGGGTTCATTTTCTCACCCTGGAACTTTCTCCAAAAAAGGATCCCAAAAAACCGATAAGATAAGCTTATATCCTGGAACAGTGCCAACTCTATATAGAGGCGACGAATGGGAATTGCCATCCCATGACTCTAATAACAGACACACAATGGCTTTTTTTAATTAATAATGATAGCCACCATATTTTATTTATTTAAGTGGCATAATAAGATTAAAAAAGCAATTAATTTATTCATTACTTTTATATTTCATGATCACAGTTTTAATTAAAAATAACTGTGAGGTCAACGGCTAGCATATAATTTATTATTAATGTTAGCCGGACCAAATAATAAGATATAATAATAGATGGCCCGTCTATATCTCTTAATTAATTATAGGGCCATCGTATATTAAAAATATATAAAATATATAATGACGTAGCGGCTATAGCGGCTCCATGATCCTCGCCGCCGGATCCGGCAGGAGGTGCACCGGCAGCAGCAATCGGCACGGATGGCCGCCAGAAAGTTGTCGCTCAGAATGGAATGAAGACAAGGCCGACTGAGTGGGGGGTGTTTTTGGTGGTTTTCTTCTTTATGGTCGCCCTATCCTGCTTCGAATCTAGCCTAAACAGGTGAGCAACTCGGGTTGTCATAAAGAATGAACATCAGTATGTGAACCACACTTTTTTTGGGTCGCCCTTGTTTTGTACTTGGATAATCACTGTCTCAAGCCCATGGGCTCAGCCATCAACATAGTTGCCAGGAAGTGTCTCACCACCTAAGGATCTAGCAGTCAAGACTTGAACAGCACATGAACCAATTTTGTGGCCCCTGAACCCTTTTCCCCCCCACCTGCCAAGCGAGCTTCGCGCTTCTTGCTTCAATTGGAGGACAAACAAACGCATCTCTTCTCCGCTTTTTCGAGCTGAGGACTGATCAAAAGTTGAGCAGTGTGGTGTGCCTTGACCTACCCAGTGAGCAAGCGAGATACAAGAAAACCTGCTTTCACCTGAGACATGGCTCATCAAATCATCGAGAATGGTCATCATCCCAATCTAACACCCAGGTCTGGACACTGGGGACTGCCTGCCATATTTGCTGGTCCATTGAGGTGGTGGTGCCAGGGGGGTTCATCTTGATCGGCAGTCCGACATGGCAGTCCCAGACACGTCGTGTTTGGGACAAACCGGGGTCATGGACACTCCACGGGCCTCGGGCTTAGCAGGACGAAACCTCGCGGGTGTGAGGGTTCGGTCCAGAGCGGGCCGGATCCCAGATCCCAGGGATGACCTCACAACGAGACGTCCACGCGGACAGAGGTCGCGGTCTCTGTCGCTTCCCGTTTGACCCATACCGGTGGACACCGGGTATCTGGGTATCTGGGATGAGTGGGGTATGTAAATGAGGGATGACCTCTCAGTGGGGAGGTTATATAGCTATATAATCAGAAGAAAAACATGTAATAATTGTGTCATATCTTGTCCATGTCACTGTCAGGTCATTCGGAAGGTTTGCGAGCCCATGAACTGGACTCCTTCAACATGAAATCGAACAAACGGCCACCCCAAGCGGAATCGTGGACACCGTTGCACAATGTCTCACGGTCTCTTCGCAGTTTGGATTCTTTCCTTCGTCAAAAGGTCTGCCAGCAGCATGTCCTATGCCACTCCAAGAAAAAGAAGTAGAACATCCCCTCGGAGTCCAGTCTACCATTTTAAACATGGTCTACCCAGAAGATCCGCGTCCAGGAATGTCATTTACTTTTGCCAAACATGGCCGCCATGGACTTCTATACCAGGCCCCCCTGTTTGGGGTGGTGAACGGACATCTAAGGAGCTATAATTGGACACCCCGAATCGGGGTCCCTGGTAGGGATATTTATGAGGCTTACGCCTGACAGCCGGGCGCCGGCCTATTTGGGTTTGGGTGTGTGCAGGGCTGGGTCCTCTCTCTCTCTTTGAGACTTGGTGGGGCCTATATATTGAGCAAAGTTAAGCTATCTGGTGCGCATCTTGGCCCTAGGTTGGGCCAAGTTGAGCCCATGTGGTCTATGTTGGGCACATCTTGGGCCCAAGTTGAGCCTATGTTGGGCCTAGGTCGGCCTATGTTAGGCCTAGGTTGGGCCTATATTGGGCCTATGTTGGCGTATGTTGGCCCCATGTTGGCCCTATGTTGAGCCATCTTGGAGGCTATGTTGGGCATATGTTGGGGATATGTTGGCTATCTTGGGCCTATGTTGGGGATATGTCAAGCAATCTCTGTGCCCAACACCAACGAAATGTCGATTAAGCTTGTCCGCGCTGCACGCATTACCGACACCACGGGCGCCCTGTTAGGCGAAAGTCGTGGACGCCGAAGGCCACAAAGCACTGTAAAAATCAATGTTTTTGAACATCCTGCGCAAGATACATATAAATCTGTCGACCGGATTCGGGCGGGGGTCGGGCGGGAGTATAGCGGGGGTCCAACAAAAGGGTCGGCGGCAGTGTCCTCGCCGGAGGCCTTCGGTGGTAACCGAAGGTTATAGACGGTCGCGCCTCCTGCCACCGACCCTCGTTCCCAAAACGGGGGGACCCCGTCGTCACTACCGGGTCACTGATGCCCCTGTAATTTACAGTGTATCGTGTGTGTGAGGTATCAAAAACACTGTGTTTTACAGGGTTTATTGCGCATATCGAAGTACGACGCGGGGAAAAGGGAGAAATGCAAAAATGCTGTGTTTTTCAAAGGTGGTGTCGGTAATGCGCGCCGGGCGGACAGGCTTAATCGACATTTTGTGGGCAGAGGTCCTCAACATAGGCCCAAGATAGCCAACATATGCCCAACATAGCCTCCAAGATGGCTCAACATAGGGCCAACATAGGCCAACATGGGGCCAACATAGGCCCAACATAGGCCAACATAGACCACATGGGCCCAACCTAGGGCCAAGATGTGCACCAGATAGCTTAACTTTGCTCAATATAGGGCCCCGTCTCCGACGCGGACCAGTTTCCGGCACCACCAGGGCCCAGTGTATGTCGATAGCTTAACGTGCGCCCGACCCAGCCCTACACAGACCCAAGTGGGCCGGCGCCCGGCTGTTAGGCGTAAGCCTTTAAATCCATAGGACTGAAATTCATGCCGATCCTATTGACCCCTTTCAACCAGTCCAACGTGGACAAACATGCCAGTCCCATGTGTCGTTTTTGAGTTTTGCTTAAACTAAATTTCCATCGAAAGGGTCTATCCTTTTGGTCGCAGACATCAGTTGTCTGATGTCGACCCAACTTTCTTCACGGCTTCCGCCATCGAAATCCTGGGCTCCGCAGTGTTGGTATCGATCCGGCGCTGTCTGTTAGCAGCTCTCCGGGTGTGGCGCACGCGAAGACGGTGTTTGTGAGGTATTGGTCTCAGAGGCCAAAGGACAACAATGTCGCGTATCAGGTCGTTAGCTCCTCATGGCCACTGGGAAAAGATAAGTTTTGTTTGAAACCGACCAGTTGGGCAAGTTGGCGTTGTTTGAAGTTCTAGACTGGAAGGGAAGCAATCGATGTTGGTGCATAGAGGGTCTTTTGGGGGGCTGAATATAGGATGATGTGAAAATTTGGGTCAATGGATGGCAGACTTGCAGGAGTGTGTATAACTAATCATAGCTTTGGGTCAATATGGCATATGGTGGTTTTGCTTATAAAGTCAGGTGATTTGCAATGGTTTCACCCTGCTGAATGCAACTTTGGCGATCGTCCCACCCATAGACTAACTATATAAGTTGTTCGAACCAATTGAGCCTAGACATTACAGCTGCATTTTACAATCATGTACCAGATGTGCCTTGAAACCAACAGCATGGCCTCTCCCGGAGTCCCTCTGGGGTGCTTGTTGTCCACTCAGTTAGAGTCCAAAAGAGCTATCAAAAGAGCTATTTGTTGGGCCTGTCTCATTTACACAATGCAAATCACTCTTTTAGAGATGAAAAGGCCTGTAGTGGGGCCCCATCATCATCCACTGGGCCCTGGTAATAGGATCTACCGTGATCTATGGGGAACATCGAAGGAATCCATCTTCGTTTGGGAGCTTCGTCTTATCGAGGTTCGTCTACGGCATCTCTGTGGTGATCCTGATTAATATGATCTTGCTGGGCTTCGAGGTAAATCTCGCGGCTGCAGTTGGCCAGGCACTTCTTAGCTCGAAGTTTGTTTCTCACATGTGACTCTCGTCCGGCTTGTTAGCTTGTTTTTTGGTCAAAGCTGCGTGGTTTCAGAACCCTGAAGGAGAGGAGTATAGAGGAAATACATCTTGGGGGATTGCTTGTTTGTCATGTTTTATGACCCTGCTTGCTTTGTGCATAGCAATGCTCGAGGAGAGTGTGCCATTATTTTTTGGCGTAGCCAACGCGACGGCTGTGGGGATCTTTGCTCTTCAGCGCCATTGGTGAGGGTTTGGCTCGGTAATTAGCTGGAGGATGAAGATACATTTGTAATATAACCTCCCACCCAGTGGACCTTTGGTTTGGTCGGAAAAGATGGGTCAAACTGGTTCCAGGTTCCAGGTTGCGCCCCCCAATATACCCGAGTGGATCCCGTTTTGAGACATGTCATGATCAGAGTGAAGACTTGGTCATCAAGATGCAAAGCTCTGGCGTTCTCAACCACCTCCTTCGAAATCACGGTTGGCATTTGGGTGTGTGTTGCTTGTTTGTAACATGTTATGTTGTACAATGTTGTACCCTAAGCATCATTGGACCCTTTCATGGAGGGTTTGACCCTGCATGGCAGGGGTTTGGACCCTCAAAACCTTCACCTTTGAGGGTCCTTCCTTGATCTTTAAAGTGATGTGCTTTACTTTTTGTTTCACAGTGCTTGCTTCCGATTGAACACCCTGAAACCCTGTTGCTACCCGCTCTACATGTTTGTTTGGAGGGAAAAACCATTTGTGCAATGTGGTAGACTCGGTAAACGTTCAGGTCATTTCCAGGCATTTCGACCAAGCATTTACCAGTATAGTTGAAGATCCAGGCATGCCATCGGAAGGGACGGAAATCACTGTGATGTGCTTTTGTGGCAAGCCACGCACCGAATCGCCAAGACTCAGGTTATTGAGCTGATGCTCTCTTTCATCGCCTTCGGGATCAGGACGCCAGTCCAGGATGCTCTGTGAGGGCTTGAGATATCCTGAAGTGCAGATTCGCAATCCTGTAAGGCTTTGACATTATCTATGTTTGTCCTCAATGACTTGGGTGTTCTTCTTGAGACCTGTGGACAATTGGTTTATTGAGATCTTATAAACTTAAATCCATGTTAACAGAGTGGCACTTCCCCCAAAAAGGCTCATTCTCATATCTTGTCATGTTTTCTTCATGTGTCAGGAGATTTTTCTGTGGTGCCGACCGAATTTGGAATCTGTTTGTGGCTCGGATCTGGCGGATCCGGCTCGGTCGCGTGGGCCCCTTTGGACGGAGGGCCTGCACGCAATCTCGCTGGTCCATCCGATCACCAGACAGCCTCCCAGGCATCCTTGAAACACACATCCTAACACATTTCCGTCCTCACCTCCCACATCCCTCACTCATCGGGAGACATGACATTCATGGCGGTCAAACTTTCACCCTATGTACAAACCATGGGTTCCGTTGACGTCCATTCTCAACAAGGTAGACATGCTCAGTGTTCCTGTTCATCCGTGGTCTCAAAAACCCAAGGGTGTTCATCCGGGGGTTGGATTTGTCACCCACGAACTCGATCGGAAAAAAGACCAACCTGGGTGACTTCTCCACTGACAAAGATCAGGTCTTCTTGTCACCACAAAAGATCCCATCGACTCGCTTTTCTGGCTTTGGACCTGATGGGGTGTTCCTCCGAAGTGTGTGTGAGGTCTATAGAGGAGTCATGAGGAGTCTAGAGGTGATAGCAGAACTGATAGCAGAACTGAAGCCCCTAGCGCCCCTAGCTAGTGGGTCCACACATGTCCACACCTAGGTGATGGTTTTCGGAGATGTCTATTTTTCAACCCTGACTTGGGGATGATGAAGGACCCTCTAGAACTCCTATTTTTCCAGTTGGGTTGAAAGCACCAACCAGACACTGTTTGGGGAAAGCACCACAAAGACGCCCAAACGCCCAACGGAACGCTGAGGACTTCTGCATCATCACCTTGTCGGTGCTGGAGACGGCCACCGAACTCTGGGCCCGCGCCACCGTCAACGTCGGTGACTCCCAGGCCGTGGTGAAAGAGAAAGAGAGCTTCACAAGTCCAAGGGTATACATGTTTCTACTTCAACATGAGGCTGCTAGTGAGTGTGTCAGATCTGTGATGTCGCAGCGTGTCAGCGCCGAACCGTGCCGAACCGTGCCTGCTTTTTGGACAGAAGATTGGGTTTTAAGGACTCCCCCCCAAAACGGGTTTGAGTCCAATAAGATCTCAATAAGATCTCAATAATCATTTTCCACATGGTTTTAACGTCATGTGATAAGTCTGTTTTGGAGAAGTTCCCACATCATCACCTCCCACATCACCCACCTCCCACAGCGTCTGCTACTTCGGTCAAGTCCCGCGGCCCGGCGCGGCTCGGAGGTGAGCACGTCTCAGCTTCGCTTCTTCCGCTCGGTGCGCCTCGCGCGCGCCTTGCGTGGTGTGCGCATGGTGCGGCTCTTGAGGCAGGGCGGCGGCAGTGACGGGACAGGATGGGCGGAGGATGGGCCGTTTGGGGTTGGACTTGTTTCGTGTCTTTCCTGTTTGACAAGTCCAACAGGGGGTTGGGTGTTTTTTTCTTGTCTTGTTTTGTTTCTGTTTGTTGGGTTTGACAGGGGTTTGGACGGGCAACATTTTAAGAACAGTGTCCTGCTGTTTCAACAAGGTTGAGCAGGGGGGTATGGTAGCCAGCAGAACCTCAGAACTGCTGTGCTCAGACACAAAGCCAGGGGAAGGCAGGACTTCCGGTTTACATGTCTACCGTTTTGCAGGGGAACAATAGCATGCTCATGAAGTTTGACAAGTTTCCTTCCATTCACCAGAGAGAAGGTGATTTGAGAATGTGAGATGAACGCTGTAGTGTTCCAACAGATGTGGTTTTCATACTGTGTTTTGACGTTATTTCTTTGTTTCATTTGGGTTTACCCAGAGGTTTGCGTCAGTGTTGACCGAAACAGTGTCTCACCCTCTTGACATATCTTGACATCAACCTCCTCGGATCAAGCAATGTTTGACCAGTCATCGGCAGTCCACCGCGTGCTAGGCATCTCATAGACCTTTCAATCAGCGCATAACATGGACGTCCACAAAATGTCTCTCCATGATACGTCTCTCCACAAGAATGGATCTTTGTTGGTCAGATCAATATGAAGTGTCTGACAAGGCCACAGTATGATGATAGATATAGGAGTGATGTTCACCCTCTAAAGACAGGTGTTTGAGACAAGAATAAAGTAAAATAGCAGGATCTCCATTAAGAAGAGATTTGTTGAATTATCCCAGATATGCTTTAGAGCAGTGCAGTGATCTTTTTCAACGGCCCTTTTGCTGACTCACTTCGACACAAAACTGGTGAGATACTAAGATCAACCTTTAATGGTCAGATGATGTCACATCCAGACTCCTCAGTCGTTTTTATTGGGTTGAGTTGCGTAGTTGGTCTAGCTGTTGTGACTTCAAAAGATTTTGCGACTCCTGTTGGTCCTTATCGAACGCTGCCTTGACTCCACAGCGCGCGATTGAACGGCTTTTGCAGCGCGCGTCTGCTGCGATTTGCAGGTATGTGGGTGCTTTAAGGACTTTGGTGCTCTCCATCGCCAGCAGCATGGCATCCTTGCTCTGGACACCGAACGTGTGCTCTTCACACTTTGAAGAAAAAACAGTTCATCCTCGTTTAAATAAGAGGTTTGTTGATGATACAAGTACATCGCACTGAATAACAGCGATCACTCACCATGTGTTGCTTCACTGTGGAAGGTCCATGGAAGGAGCAAGTGAAAGACATGCGTTGCTGGTGTGTTCTTTCTTTGAGCATATTTTTGAAGCTGTATATTAACTTTTCTACTCTTTCTTGGCCCATGCTCAAGCACCCGCCCAGTGACGCAATCCCACGAGGACTCTGGTGCTGTTGGTCCTCATTTGCTACACCTTTGGTGCTTTGGCACTGTCAAACCCGGGCCTCAGTGGCCTCCAGCGCTGTGTGATAGAGCGTTCCAACCTGCAAGAGCGGACGGTCTTTGGCAAGACGGTACACGTCTTTGGGCTGTGGGTCAGGGCATGTTTCGACTGTTTGCAACGTGACACCCGGCATGCGCATGACAAGTTCGCCTGCAACATGACACCTAAGATGTTCAACGATGTGTCCAAGGCATCATGTTTACCCAGATGGTCTCTGACTATTGCCGCTATGAGGCCGGATCGGAGTGTATCGTTCTTTGGATCCCGCTTGATCCGTCCCTTTGGTCCTTTCGCCCACAAGCAATGATGGGACAGAGGCCCTTGACCCCTTGATATGTTTTTTTTGTTTTCAACAACCACACATACATACTGTTACATACACACTAGTGGTCATCAACTGATTGTTACAACAATCATCAAGAATCTAATGTGAAGAAAACAATAAAACAAGCTTGGAGTTCAAGGCACATGATTCCAAGAGATACGTTTGCCAGTTATAGAACTTTGTGACAGCACAGATCGTCGTTAAAAGACAGATACGTGTTGTTCCAGCCACCATCAGCTCGTTCCTACAACTTTCCCGTTGAACCTATATACCCTTGCCCTGTCGTACTACCACTATGCAGACTATGCAGCTCACTGCGCATTTCTCTGATGGGTGAAGATGATGATTCCTTTGCATTGTTTCAGGATGTTTAAAGCACTATAAAGCCTTTAACGAACAGGACGATGACCAAACCAAACCCATGTGTTTGAATGTTTTTTATTGGTGTGGTGTGTTTATATAAATAAACATACACATGAACAAACCCGATCCCTACCCTCGTGTGACCACTCTCCACCACTCTCCGCCACACTTCCTCCAAGCCGCAGTTGGGTTTTTCCACGATGCAGAGCTGTACGCCGGTGGTTGGGGTCTACTGGTCAAGCCTGGAGGCGTTCTGAGTGCTGAGTCGTGGTTTGCTTCGAAGGGGGCTCCGGCATGTGTTCCTCGGATGCCTGACATGTGTTGTAATGTTTTGTCTTATATATTAGGAGAATTTAGGAGATGTTGTTGGAGTCCTTTTTTCCCCAATTATCTTAAGCTCGTCGGATTGGTGAATAGGACTTTGCTGACTCATCAAATCCATCAAATTCATCATGTTTAATCTCCAAAGGGTTCGCAAGCTCTTTCGGGGATTGTGACATCCCATGACATCCCATGACCATCACTATAGGACTTTGCTTCCTATTCAGATCGTCCAGCGCATATTCATGCTCATCCCAGTACTACCCCATCACCACGCACGCTTCACTCTCTCGTGCTTTTTTGGCGCTTTGGGCAGGAGAGTATGTTGACGCTCTTCATGACCATCTCTGGTGGAATCAACTGGGGCGAGACCTTCAGACCCTTGATCGATGCTCGGGCGAATGTGGCGATGTGGAAGACGATGTGGAGCGAAGCTGTGTTTTCGGAAGCTGTGGCTGGGATCGGGAGTGTTGGGCGGTTCGTTTTGCTTAATAGATGATATAGATTGATATACTACTGTATTAAATTATATATATATAGATGTTTATACTTCCCGACCTGGGTCAATCTTTTGGAGAAAACAATTTTTTGTCCGGATTTCCCCAAACCAGCAACTCCAAGCAGCTGTTGGGAATTTGAGGGAGGCAATGGGATTTCCCTGCTTTTTCTTTCAAACTCGGACATCTCTTTCAGGATGGTCCGTCAATTTTCGACTGCGTGCCACCAAAGCGCACCCCTTTTCTTATGCTGTATGTCATGTTGCGTAACCATGTCTAGCCAAGTTCCTTGCAGTGCGTCCAGTCAATAGGACCGAAACCACGAAACCGGAAACTGAACGGGCTTGGCGATGTGGATCCGTGATCTGTGAGTGGTTCGATGACGATTTGGATTTGTTGGGCCCGTTCTTTCTGCCGATTGGCTTAAATACAGCATACAAGAATGCTGCCTTTGCCTAGGCTGACGGAAGGGCAACAAATAATCAAAGGTGTGCATTGATTCATATGCCAAATACTATGTGAGTGGGTTGTGGGTAGCCCAACTAGAAAACATCTACCTACCCAATTACCCCAACATTGTATTATGAGCAACCAAGTTCGAATAGGGGTCTCCCCCAAAGACCTGGGAATTCATCAAAAACACCGTGAATCCAGTGGTTGGGTGGTTGGGAAGTCTCCCTGTTCAAGACCAAACCCTTGGGGTGTCTTCTTGGGCCTTAAGCAGGGGGGGCGGTTTAGGCGCCATCAGCTCAGCCCGCTCAACTGGGGAAGGCTAGAGGAGCTGCAGCTAGAGGTTCAACAGAGGCCGCCGGGACGTCACAGGGCCCACTTTACAAGTCCAAACCCACTTGGATCTGCCAAGGTGCTTGCTTGGGCAAGCCCTGTGTGGATCGGCATGTTAGTTGTCCTTAGGGTCTTCGACATGGACAGAACATCGCAGGTGCGACCAAACAACGGTCCACGAGCAGCGTAGTTGTTGAAGAAGCACACGTCTGACTTCCAAAAGGGGCATCAGCCCACAAATCCAAGGCAGGCTTTGTCCCCCAGCAGTTTGATGCGAACCTGATGGGATTTTGTGGACATTGTTTCTATAGCCTTGTTTCATCACCATGGAGCTGTTTCTTGCCTAAGCCCATCTAAACCATTCTAAATCTCAAAGGCATCAAACTTGGAGCCTCAAGACGTTAGAATCACAACAACCGAGTTCTCACATCTGCCATATGTCGACCCACAAAGAAACACATTAAAAAGGTAACGCCCCCAAAGCTGATAGTACACTCCGTCTCACTGGAAGTGGAGCTTCTCCACCTGATCCGAAGACGGAAAACCGCCTTCCCACCGTCTTCCCAGGCCTCTTCCCACAAATCCATGGTGACTGAGTCAAGGTGTAGATCCTAGATCCGAAGACGTGGTGTACTCCAAACCAGGAAAACCCGAAAATCCCGTAACCAGGGTCCACGCGTTCTGAACCTGAGACGCACACGCACGCGTCGGAACCAAACCCGGGTTCTTCCGAACCCACCGCCTCGCCACCCGAACTTCCCCGCTTCCCAAAAGCTGCGCCGAGCGGATCGCGGATCATCGGAATCGGCCCAGGGAGTTGGATGGTTTGCGATGGTGTGCCATATCATTTTCATCACCATCGCCGTGCTGGCCGTGGTCGCGCGGAGAAGGGGGTGGAAGTTGGGCATTTGGCATCAGTGAGGGGGGGGTTCAAGGCAGTGAGAAGGGTAGGAAGGGTGGATGGGTTTCATCCCATGAATGAGAATGAATGAGAAAGATGGGTTTCATGATTCATCTCATGAGTCCATGAAGAAAAAACCGTTTCACCACCTTCCCAGCAGGGTCCTGATGGGTCATCGCTTGGAATGATTGCTTTGCAGTGTTGGAACCCTACGACACTGACACTGGCACCGGGAGATGGGGAGGGTCTGACTTGTGCGGTTTCAATGTTTCAAGAGCCACACGCTTCAAAGTCTTTGACCGCTGTAACAGACGAAGGAATGGGCACTGAGGACACCGAGGGAGAGTCGGACGTTTCTGAAGAGAGGATGGACACATCCGATCCAAATGTGTCTCAGGTTTTCCCGTTTTGAACCCGAATCTTCCCTGATGACGGTCGTTATGGGCGATCGGATGGATGCTGGGTACAACATGATACAACTAGGCAATCCCTGGACTGCCATCAATACACAAGCAACTATAGTGTTCACATCGCAATAATGAACCAACCCCCTAGTATATTCTGGCGGGCAAAAACACTTTTGCTGCAACAATCAACTCTCCCGCAATAATAAAGCTCGGACCTTATAATTGGACAGAACTAAAAGGGCAGTAGGAAGGAAATGACACGACAAGTTATTTTTCAGGATATGCTGGAAAGATATGTTCATTGTACAGCAAAGTTCGGTTTACAATTACAAAATAGTTGAGAAAAGTTTGATGTACAGTGCAAACGTAAGTTACTTAGGAGACGGTTGCAATTGAAACAATCTTTTTGTTAATGACAGTGGTCTATAAACTTTTAGGGCCTTGGCATTCGTAAGGGGCACCCTTGTAGAAGACTTGATTGAATTCAATGCTTTTGAATGCGTTTTTTTGACTGGCTACAAGATGTCAATTTGCTTCTTATGTTTGATCAAATTAATAAACTTGTTTTTAAAGATTAGAAAGAGAGGTCTAGTGTTGTACAGCAGAAAGCTGTTTGTTTTCTGAAATCAAAACAGACGGGTATTAGCGATAGTAGTATTAGTATTTGTAGAGATCAAACTCACGAGTATTGTGAATATGTTTCAGACAAAACTGCATGGTTTATGATTGGCAAGTTCAGAGATCGAATTGTGCGAGCATTGGATCAAATTACGCACGTATTGCATTTTTTTTGGGGTGACAATTTAGGTTCCCTGGAAGTCAATGACCATTTTAATATCGTTGATCTGGTTTTGCAGTGTAAAACCGTAAAACAATGGTGGTTCGGTATGACCCGGCTATTAAAACAGTGGTGGTTCGACTTCTAGGGGGGGTTGTATGGTGTTTTTCGAGAGAACTGGCGGGAGAACTGGGCGGGAGAGAAGTCAAGCTTGCCCTTGGCTCGTGCTATGTTGCTGTGATGTGAACAGCACTATCACATCTATACACAATATTACGCGATAGATGTACAGTGTCCGAGGAACATGTTGAACACTGCGTCGATACCGGTGCCCAAAGCACCAGAAAAATAAGCACACTGACTAAAACCCATTGTTTCTTGATCCCAAAGCAATATCGTGATACTTGGCTTCCTGAAAACACCTGGTAAATACGGCGGTTTTTGGCTTGCCGTTTACATCATTGGTATTTACATTGCTGTTAGGTTCCTAATGCGAAAACAACATGCAAATACCGCTGCTTTTGCGTCCAGGTTTAAGAACATTGATTTACATTGTTGTTGGGCTCCTACTGCAAAAAGCCATGGCAAATACTGTACCGGTGCTTTTGGCTTGTTTTGGCCTTTGCCAATGTTCAAAACCATCGGTATTTACATGGTCTCATGGTCTCTAATGAGTTTCTTGAGAATGGCCCTGTCTCATATACGCCTAAGTCCCTCGCACGACATAAGGGGAACAAGTTGCCTCTTCTCGGGGGCGCCACACAATGGCCCCGGAATCCAAAGGGGCCAGAGGAGGGTCGAGCCACAGGGCCAAATCCTGGGCAACGCTTTTCCCAGGGAAAAACATATCGACGGTCAGCAGTGAATAAAGACATGTACAGGACTTGCCACTTGCCAAACGTTTGGCCGATGTATGTCAGTTTTTTGGGCAGTAGTTTTTCAAGCCAACATCACAGCGACATCCCCGAACACACCGGCCCCGCTCCGCTCCACTCACGTTCACAATCCCGAGTGCCTATTAATAAACACTCCCCTATCAAAGAGCACCATTTCGGAAACCCTAAATACGGTGTATATTTATGTTTAAATTACCGCCCGTTAAAACCACTACTACTAAACTGCCAACATGGTCGATTTTGGTTGAGGCTTTGTATTAGATTACAAAATCAACCCTAACTGCCCACCTCTGTCCACCTGTTTGTCCACAATGACCAATGACACGCGGGTTTACACCAGCAGGTTTCCTTGCCCCAATGGCACAACGATGCTGCGCAGAACCGCATGGCACAGCGACATCACCTTTCAAAAACTTTAAGTTGTTAGTCTAATGAAGTCTTTTAAAAAGTCTGTGTAAAGGGAAAAGGAAAACCCTTCGAGCTGATTCGAACTGGAGTTGTTTCCATTGTTGTTAGAGGTTAATTTAAACGTATTCAAACAACAGTTTTCCTGGGTGACTTTTCGGTTTTGAACCTCTTCCCAGGATTCTGCGCAAAATCTGCGCCCGCCAGGAAAACACAGATTATTCAATATCCCCTCTTTCAGGGACCCTCTATTGACAAAAATGCCCCCCGAGTTATTGTTAAAAGGGGGGGCATAGGTGGAAGGGATTAGTCCTGGACCGGGGTCGGCGGGTATTTCTGCGCAATTTAGAACGAGGGCTGACGAGGTACGAGGTGAACCTTTGTAATTTAAGCGAGGTGATTTAACTTAAATTCAGAAAACGAGGTGGGCAGAAATTGCCTTCAAAGCACGTGTAGCGAGTGAAAAAAAACTTTTCGGTATCCAGAAAGATCGCAGCTTTCCCAGGTTTTTTGTCTTTCATCATTTTGGTGCAAACCATTCCTTTCGAGCTCTACGCGTTCTCTTATCCCTGTTACACTCAGCCATCAGCGTGAACTAAGTGCAAGGGCGCAGAATTAAGGGTACATTCAGACCCCGTGAAAAAACAAAAGCTTACTTGAGTTTAAACAGTTTCTTTTTTTATGTCGTAAGTTCAAGTCAGAGCCCTGTGGTGGCCCATCGTCCCAGGAAAAAACAAAGTCATGGCCTGATGTTCTTAGTATTTTGGGGTGGCGTATGTCATGTTTGTGCGGCCGTTCCGTGCCTATGGGTTATCCGCGCCAGTCATGGCCAGGGTTGCCGCGGTTTAGTGGTATGGTTCGCGCTTCCATTCGCGAGGTCTCTGGTTCAAGCCCGCCCTGCGCTGAGATCAAAAACATACCTTTCATCGCCCAACATTGTTTTTTCCTCACAATGCGCGCCCCCTCGGCCACCCTATCGCCCTGAGATCGAAAAAACTGCTCGTCGCCTAAAAAGTTTTTTTTGCCGACAATGCCCCTACCTGTCCTTCCATCTTACACAAGATGAGCCCTCTGAAAAAGCGGGCGAAGGAGGCAGAGGACTAGTTCGAATGGCTTGCGGTCGGGAAAGAATTGATAGCATTGGGACGAGGGCTGACGTCCGTTTTGAATTTAGCAAGGCGAAGACTGCAGGTTTAGTCAGAGGTGAAAAGTCGATTCCAGACGAGGCAACCGTTTTGAATTTAACATAAACTGACCAGATAATTGTGAGCAAGCACTCTTGAGTGCAGTGTGTTTGTGTTTGGCCCTTTCTGGCAGAACTAAGGTAAACGTCGTGACGGGAGTTTTCTGCACAACCGCGCAGCTTGCTTGCACTGGAATTTGTGGACCAGATCAGGCAAGTTTTGCACTTCACCTGCAAGATTTGGCTTGAAAAGGAGGAGGAAGGGCGGAGAGGAGGAGGTTTTATCATTTTGGGCTTGACTTTTGGCTTTTACCAGCAAGACTTCCGCAAAAACATGATCACAACCAAGGATGGAGAGCGCGGCTGCAGATAAGGACAGCTTGGCAGATCTCTCTTTTCCAGCCACTCCATGGGACTGGCATATTTGCCTACAGGCTGAAAAGGGGTCAATGTAGGCATATATTCCATACATGGAGTGTCTATGCTGTCTATGCATATACCTGGTTGGTCACGACTCGCAGCATCATGCGCCAACCTTGTGTTTGTTCATTGGTTTGGGGTTGTTCCGGGTGCTGCCTTCTTCCATCAACCCAAACCTCCAGTGAACCCACACAACCGGGGGGTACGCATATCTCCTTACCACCACCATCATCCCCACGAATGTCCATCCAAACCTGTCGTTGACTACTGAAATGTTTGAATTCGCTAAATTGTTTTTGGTGGTTTTCCATTGAAATGGGCCAGCAAACATTGACTCGATGGTGCATTGCATTCGATGCTTTGAGTCAACTAGATGCTAGCTCGTTTATCTCGCTTTGCATTGGTATTGTTGCCCTATCCCTGCCTTTTTGACGATGATGTTCATGGTCCTAGCAAACCCATTTTACAAACACTGCTCCCAGCATTTCATGGCACGCAGGAAATTGCGACAATGAAACAACTTCAAAAGAGACTCGGCATCACCAGAGAGCTCTTCAAGTTGTTTGATGGTGGCTCCTTGAGCACCAGCAGATGAACCAACATATGCATGATGGCAGATGTTGGTTCACTAGAGGTTGCTGGAGGTTCCCGGTTTCAACATTTTTTGCATGGAAGATACACGTCGTCCTGTGCTGTTCATGTCATGGGCAGCTCATGAGGAAGAGGACCCGTGACGGGTTTTCCCGGCACACCATTCCATGTCAAAGGGATGGTACTGGAACATTTTGGTGTTCACATGTTGTTCATTGGTGCTTGCAAGATTCCACTGGCCTTTTTTGGCACCTTTTGTTGGAAAGAAACGGATTGTTCTATGACTTTAGCTGACATAAACACAAGAGATGGGCATGTGAATCTGAATTCTGAAATTTTTGGGCATGCAAAACCAATGCATGCCATTGACGTCGGTTCGGCGTTCGGTTCGGGCCGGCGGACTTGCGAACTGTGGACCCTTCGGGCGTCATCGGGTCCCTGGGATGAAAATTTGCATGACATGAGCGACCCCTTTTAGAACCACCAAGTACTAAAATAGGGAGACCTCCCAGTTCGACCCTCTGGAAGCTTCGGGAACTAGACCAACGACATTTCATTGGGCCAGGAGACCTTGTGAATTTACAAACACACGCCCATGTGGCGGGTACCGTGGGTCAAGTGGATTTCAGCAGACTCACAGGGGGGTTGGTATACCTGGAACTTCCTCAGTGATTTTGTGTTTTAAATCTGCAGCATGACAAACATGGGAGTCACAGCCTTATATGTGAGTCTGCGGCGTGTTTCTCTAGTTTTCTGATAGCTAAGCCTTCCTTTTTCATCGTTGTCTCTTCTAGCCGAGCTTTGGGAAATCGCTTCCATCTTCCATCCTCTCCTATTCCACAGGCGTCCACACGCAGCCAGCTCGCCCGCTCAGCTCTCATACCCCGCCCTTCGTGCTAAAAAACGTCGTCACCCCACCGACCGAACGCGGTGTGCCGTACGTCGTTCGTCCGCCGTGACTGTCGGTGGCTTCGACGGAGCCTTCCAGGAAGAACGCGCAACTTCAAGACCTGCGGGACGCCTTCGCAGAGATTGTGGATAGCGAATCCAACACGGTCCGGAGATCCGGTGTTTCTTGCGGTCCGTTTGTTAAGTTTGACCGGTGATGAGAAGGTAAGGTCTATGAGGAAGACATATTGAAAACATGCGATCACAACAAATGTCCAATGATGGATGTTCAAGAGAGGTAGTTGGGATAGAGACTGTTAAGATCTAAGATCTGGCCAGTGACAGTATGAACCTCTATTGATCACTGACCAGGTATTAAGTCGAGTGAGCAGGTTTTTTGATGTTTTGGCTAATCTTTTGGTGGGGCTAATGGAGCTGAAGCCACCCAAGAATCACTTCAAGGCATGCCATGGCATGCAATCAAAACATAAACAATTGGCGGAAAACAACATACCCCTTTATGTTGGGTTGGTTTGAGGGAAAAACATCCTTTGAATTGCCCTACTCTCATGCATTTATATAAAGGTGCTTGAAGTGATTTGGAGAGACATGCGGAGACATGTGATCATGTTTTGAATGGAGAGTCATGTTTCTTTTGCAGACATTTGATCATGAGATCGTGTTGATCCTCCAGCCCATGCCCTGATTCCATCATATTCCATCTATTTCGATTCCATCCATTTTCCGCACCGAAACAAACATCCTCGTCCTCATCCTCACCTGGCCACGCGGCGCCGTACGGCCGCTTCCGCCTCTGGCGGTCGCCCGACCACGTGCGGAGGTGAACATCGAGGACTTTTCCAAGGCCATGAGCAGCGCGCGCTTCCGACATTTCTTGGCGCCTCATCGGCCGATGAACATCGGAGACGACAGCGGATGGATGTGGTTGTTTGGGTGGTGGATGTAGAGGGAGCCGGTGGATGGGAGCTGGTGAAGTGTCCCAAGGACCTTCTTCCCGCACAACTGACATTCTTTATTCGCCAAACGTCCTATGGAAAGCTCTCAAGACGGAGAGTTAGAGTTGTCGCGGACAGTTTCCTTTTCAAGGAGCCAGCGCAGATTCTACTGGTCTACAACTTGTTTGTTTCAACCATTGGCAGAGGATATTCCCAGATTCCTCAGCAGGGTGGTTTCCAAAGCAAATGACTCTCCCAGTTAGCCCATCATAGCCCCTGATCCTGACCAACATGGACCAACATGATAGAATTGGTTGATTTGGCAATTTGGCTCGTTTGGGTGATCTGTGGACCATGCGCAGGGCTGGCTGATGGGGCGGCAAATATGCCAGCGCCATTTGTCCTGTCTGGGTACCCTCTAAGTTTGTTGGAGGACACTCCATGGAACACATGCTGCCGCATTGATCCCTCCAACCGCCCCAGCTGCTTGGTAAACATTCCATTATATTCCGTCCATCAAGTGTTTGGATTCTTTCAGGGAGATACAGATCTTTTCTGTTCGAGCCTTGCCCTCCTCTTCGGGCCAAATCCGCGCCCCGGCCCCAGGAATCCATGAGCATCTCCACCACGGACCGACCGAAGCGAAGAAGCCGACCGAGCGGTGAGCGGAAAGAAGCGTCGCGGTGCTGAAGTCGTGTGGCCAAACATGAGGATGGTTGTGAAGAACTGCAGAGGATGGTTCCTGGAGGCTTTCATTCACATGTGCAGGAATTTTTGTTGGTGGATAAGAAGGTGGATATATAGGATTCATGATGGTTCTTGTTTAGTCCTGCACACCACTCAGTTCGGTAACCAGAATGAACTGCATGCATTTTACTGCAGGTGATATGGTGTGTCCTTCATGGTTCCTTTCATTTCCTTTCAATTCTAATAAGATGTTGAGGAGGCGGGGTTGGTTGAACTTGTACTGTGGTGAAGACAAAATTGTACTCGGAATCAACAAGACTGCGCAACATTGTCCAGGACATTGACATCCTTTTCACCATTATCGACACTGATCAGAGTTCCTTGGATAGTTTAGCCGTGTCTCATGATGCCCACTTCAATACAAACCGACTCTACCGAAAGAACTGGGGGATGTTTAGATGGCTGAGTACTGCCCTTTGATGTTTTTTCAATTTTTTTGTTGTGGTGAGGGAACCAAATGAAGCTGTTTCTCCTTGGGTTGTCCCTTCATGACCTAGTCATCCCTGGAAAGATAATTATCTTGCCATAGCAGAACTCTGATCATCCAAGAAGCTCCCCTCCTAGTGATAGACAGGCATACTGCATGGAGTGCATGGCCCCGTTCACTGGCGTCCTACCATTTTCTTTGTTGGTTTCAGGATCAGTCATGCCACCGCCAGCGGTTTGAATCAGCAAAGTGCGTTCCTTTCTTGTGTTCAGATGCTCCTTTCCAGAGACATTCCTGCTCATGCGGAAAACACTGTGACCGTTTCTTCTTTTTGGATGGAGAACATGCCAAGCTTTGTGTCCTACATGCTACTTGGGGCCTTCTTGGAGCGACCAGAGTTCTGCGACCCAGACGTCTCACAGAGAGACTTACGAAGACTGGAGGGTTCCGGCTGGTCGAGGCCATGCTTGTGTAATTTTACATATTATCATGAAAGGCACGAAATAGCTCTTCCCAGTCAGGGTCAGAAACACTGGCAACTACCATGTCCAAATGCATTTCTCTTCAGCCCAAACTTGAAAAAACAACTTGGAATCTACAATTATGCCCTTGCTCACTTCCAAAAACCTGGTATACCCGTGTGCATTTGTTTCGCAAATGAAGGTTGGTGTTGTCATTGTCAACAGTTGCCTTTTCTCCTTGAACACTTTCTTCGTCACAGAACGTACCGTTCGCCATTGTTTTGTTGTTGTTGTTGGTAGAAACAAAAACAGCCGCCCAACATCATTGTCATATGTTGTAACTTTGGAACTTCAAGGGGACGAGGTTAGGGATACGGTTGAAGGATTGAGCGAGTGTTGGTTTGGTAAGGAGGTGGACTTGTTGTTGGACTTGTTTCACTGAAGTCTGGGCTGGTCCGTTTTTAGTGTTTTTGAGGTGCTGTTCTGGAGGGGCGGGCCCAAAAAACAACAACGGGGCTGCAGTGTTTGTTTCTAGGATGTGGTAGAGGTTCTAAGCAGAAGTTTGACAGAGGCTTAGCTGACCGGTTACTACCACTACCACTACTACTCCTACTGCTGCTGCTGCTGCTACTCCTCCTGCTACTGCTGTACTGCTACTCCTACTCCTACTACTACTACTACTACTACTACTACTACTACAATTACTACTACTACTACTGCTACTACTACTACTACTGCTACTACTACTACTAGTACTCCTACTACTACTACTACTACTACTACTACTCGTATTACTAGGCTGCTACTACTTCTACTACATACAAGCACTACCACTACTGGTAAAAGTACTTGTTGGCTGTTTTTTTTTCGGAGGGGGTCAAAAAACAAGGAACAATATATGTTGTAACGGGGCTGCAGTTTTTGTTTGTACCTTGTTGACTTGTTGTTGTTGACTTGTTGTTGTTGTTGGTAGAGACAAAAACAGCTGCCCAACATAGCTGTCACATGTCGCAAGTCAGGGATTTCAAAGGGACACTGTTAGGGATAGGGTCGAAGGTTTGGAGAGATGTTAGTAGCTGGACTTCTTGTCGTTGTGGTACTCAAGTCTTGGTTGGTCTGGTTCTTGTTTTTTGATGTTTTTTGGTATGTTGTTCTGGAGGGGGGGGTCAAAACACAACAACGGGGCTGCAGATGTTGTTTCTAGGGGGGGTAGAGACAACAACATCTTCTGAGGGGGGGGTTCAAAAAAACAACAACGGGGCTGCAGTTTTTGTCTCTAGGATGTGCTGGAGGTTCTAAGTAGAAGGTTTACAGAGGCTTAGCTGACCGGACTACCACCACCACTACTACTGCTACTACTGCTACTACCACTACCACTACCACCTACTACTACTACTACTACTACTGCTGCTGCTACTACTACTACTGCGACCACTACAACAACGACTGCTACTAGTACTAGTACCACTAGTACAAGCACTACCACTACTGGTAAAAGTACATGTTGGCTGGTTGTTTTCGGGGAGGGGGGGTCAAAATAACAACGACGGGGTTGCAGATTTTGTTTCCACCCCCTTGTAGAGACAAAGGATATCTTGTAACGGGGCTGCAGTTTTTGTTTGTACCTTGTTGTTGTTGTTGTTGTTGTTGTTGTTGTTGTTGTTGTTGTTGGTTGTACAGTTGTTGTTGTTGTTGTTGTCGTTGTTGTTGTGATGATGACTTGACGCTGGCTGGGGAGCTGCGCCGTTGTCTACTCCCACTAGTACTACTGAGGCGGTTTGATCGACCTCGAGGAGTTTGTCCAAGGCGAAGACCGACGGCGACGATGGAAACGCCGAACCGTGTGGCGCAGCGGTGCACAGATGTGTTTTTTGGATTTGTTTTTTCCGGGAAAACACGAAGAAAAGACACACGCACGCACTGCATGGATATAATAAGGATGGTCATGGTATATACACCATGTTACGTCCCCATAGTATCACATGATTCAATTTGTTCGGCCTTCGGCAAAGCCACATGTTTGGGTCAAAGCGTTCTAAAGGGCCGAAGTTGCTGGAAACGAACAGAATGACAATGAAATATGGTGTTTTTGTCGGGTCCAGGGAATTATGGGATCTTGAATTGCAATACCAATTTGGACACAATCCAATTGAGGAAAACACTTCCGAGGACAATAGCATCCTAAATGTGATGCGGATGAATTGGTGTGTTTTTGTGAGACATGAGGATTATATGTCCATGAGATGAGGTTGTTGGTTGAAAACAGTTTGGTTATGCAATTGGGTCAGAGTTCTGTCGCTTTGTGTTCTATCGTCACCACGGTTATATACAGCAGCAAACATCAACCAATATTTGTGTTCGGTTTCATGACCACAAATGGACTCTTGGAGACTATCACTTGGCTCGATCGAATCATGTTTTGGTTGTGTTGTGTCATTCGTTCCCTGCAATGATTGTTGCTACTCTAAATTCTTGCGCCTTATTCGTCCTGGATCAGGTCGTTGAATGTCTCAGGCCCACGCCAGACAAAAACCAAGAAAAGACCACCTCGTGACTCAACCGCCAGGTTGTCTGCAACTACACGGACCGGCCAAGAGCTTGCAATTGGCACGCATGAGCTTCGAGAATAAGATCACCCGCAAGGCCCGGTCCGTTAGACCAAGTCGTCAGAACAAGCTGCGGTGACCAGTCTAGTCAGGGTCAGAAAACGAGCCAAGGAGTCAGGTTGTTTGCCCATCCGGGGTCGTCTTCCCAAGGATTCAGTGCAGCCCAAAAAGAAGTAGACTTGAGTTGCTGCCTGGTTCCTTTTGGCTCAACATGGCTCAACTATGAATCTGAAGAAGGCTTCCTACGGGCCAGGTGGGACTTCCGATGGCGATAGAAGATTTGGTTTGGGATGTTGATGTTCAACCATGTTAAAGCCCAAACCGTTTGCAGGTCCTGCTTTGAGTTCCCCTGATGTGCGGACTCCGGTGGTGCATGGGTGGTCTCGCCAGTGTCTCTTCCTAAAGCTATTCCGTCCAAAGGCTGTACTATTCCTTAGTCAAGTAAAGGATACTCCCGAAATCAAGAAGTACTATAGTGCCGGACTTTTACTTGGAGCCCTGTTTGTTTTCCAAAACTAATGTTCCCATGACATAGAACGCTTAGAACCCATGAATGCAAAAAGACACTTAGAAACTTCCCGAAGGATAGTCAGTGACAAGTTTTATCCACTTATATGTCCGGCACTGCTAAGGGAAACACACTTAGAAATCACACTCATCACTTAGAAATCTATTAGTGATTTGTTTAGAACATATATTAACAGACCATGCTTCAGAGAAGACCTCACCCACCCACTATGGGCGAGGAGACAACATTGTTCTCAAGAGTTTTCTCGAACATTTCTGAGTGTATGGCATATGTATGGCATTGTTTCTAAGTCTATGGCATTGTTTCTAAGCCAGGGCCTGCGGAAAGACCATGGGCGGCAGGTTCTAAGTGTAGTAAAGTTGCCATGCAATCTAAAACCAGCTTTGTTTTCCAAACCTTTTTTTTCTAAGTATGTGTCGGTCGCTATATAGTCAGACCATTCTTTTTGTCTTTGACTCCGGTATTGAGAATCAAGTGGCAAACGGCAAGCGCCATTGATGTGAATATAGTTATAGAGTCAAGTTCCATCAGAGTCGTTGGTGGAGCAACGGTCCGGTGGTGAAGTCCAAGACAAGAAGCCTTCCTCTCACCCCTGTAATGAGATCCTGTGAGAAAACTGTATGAGGGTCCCACGAGTTCTCCCCTTGTGTGCGCGGGTCCCACGGCCCAGGCGATGAAATCCATGGCATCCAGCCTTCTGCAGCTGGAGGAGCAGCTCAAGAGGCGCTTCTGAGCAGCTCAAGAGGTGAAAGCAGAATACAACTCCCAACATGCTCTTCCTACTAGTGAACCCTTGAAATGGTCAAATCCTTTCTCACTTGAGCCGTCAGGACTCGCCTGGCTATGCCTGGTCGACCTGGTTCAAGAACTTTTCGGGTGGGTGTGTATTATTCCCGGTTCCTGGGGCGAAAAACGGGTTCGCATTGGGGAATAGTGTGCATATTTGTTCCAGTTGAGAACAAGCTAAATCCAAGGCAATTTACACATATCAACCAATGAGTTTTGGCCGGCAAGTTGTTCACCACTCCGGGTGAAAACGATGTGATGCAACATTTGTTTATTTTCCCGTTTCTTAGATGAATCGGCAATAGTGTGTTCTTTCCCGAGTTGGACAGCCAAGCACTTCGCTGAAGAGCCTTTGATCAAGCGTTGATCTCCAAAGATTTGGGCGCACGTTACGGCGGACGGGCCACTACCCACTACCCCACCCACCCCTGCAGTGAAGGGAGAGACCAGGTGTGGACCATTATATATATAAAACACTCTAAGATGGAGGATCTGGAAGGGAACTACCCCTGGACCTGCGTAATCCCTCTGCAGGTGGCCTCCGGTGGAGCGAGCGGAGCAAGCGGAACGAGGGCGAAAGCGACACGTGAAGAGCATTTGATGTGCAGCTGGGAGATGCAGCTTGGAGCGGATGATTCTTATTTGTTGCAGTAGGATTCAGGATGTTGTGGCAAAAGCTGGCAAAATCAGTGGTGATTGAAGTTGAATGTGCCTATAGATCCTATAGAAATTATAAGGACATATCATATATCTTAGATATCTTATCATTTCTTATCGCTTTCATGCCGTATAATCCGGTGAGGAGTGGTCATAGTCAGCTGTGATGCTTCCCCAATGCAGTTGATCCATACGTCCCATCACTTGGGGGGTTGGGGAAGAAACTACGTAGACGTAGAGTTTTATTCAGAGAGGTTTTCAGTACACTTTCACCATCACCTTGAGGGAAATGGAACAAACTGTGCATAAGTGCAGAAGGAGTTTGAATCTGTCGCAAGAGGGGCAAGACATGGCCGTTGGAAATCTCGGTCAAGAGGGATGGCTTTTTGTATGCTTTTTGTATATCATATAGTATAGTAATATGTTATGTTATCGCATTCTGTGTAATTTTTTGAAGGGCCTTGAAGTGGACGGTCGTTTTGGCTCGCGCTCTGAAGGAGGGTGGCTTGGGTATACGAAAAAAAGCGTCTCACCTAGAACAAGGTCGACTCTTGGTGGGCACTCTAACAGCACCCACTTGATGAAAACACACATATCTCAGTGGTCGAACTACAAATCAGAAACACATCAAAAAGACAGAGGACATCCCGGTTTCAGTGAGAATTTCACAGGTGCTTTCATCCGGTGTTCAAGCCCTGTCCCAATTCGGTTGGTCCAGTCCACCTGCGACCCGCGGCCGTGACCGCCGATCACCGAGGCCCGTGGCGGTCCTGGCGCTCCACCGACCCGCTGAGCGCGGCGCAGTTCCACTCGTTGGCTCGGTCCATCCCGGTCGAGTGCGCGGTGCGCCTTTGTGGTGAAGCTGTATGGAAACACCCACAAAACACGCAAAATGCAGGATCTATTCACATCCAAACATGTGCAACAAAATCATAAATGCCCTTGATGCCTTTGGAGTGCCAGGGCTTTGGGATGCTTTAAGATTATTGTCGAAGCTGTGGTAGACTGGCATGTGAGAAACCAGTTCGTCGTCAGACAGGAAGCGCGACAGTTTTCGCTTTGACCAACATGGGAAACTGAGTTATGAAGCTACAAGGAGGTCCCAAAGAAACATCGCGCTGCCAATGTTCACACAATCAAGTGCTGCGTGAGTGTCTTCAGCCTGAACTGCCTGGTCAATGTGGCAAGAAGTCGCAAGCAGACCTGGATGGGCCGGCTGTAGCTGGACACCAAAGGTGTGCCAGTTGAGCCAACGGTTTGGCCAAAGATTGGACAATTATCCGAAAGCAGGGTAGGCATGGTGGCAGTTTGTGTCCAGTTATTTTATTATTAGTTCAGATGGATCCGATTCTTATACATAATTATTCACGAAAATTTTGATTACATTTGGCTTAAGACGGCATAAAAGCAGAGGGGTCAACGATGGTCAGCGTATTACGTTGTCCATGAACGATTCAGTTATATTTGATTTTTTCCCGGTGAATGGAGCTACCCTTGTGCTCGGATGCCAATGAATGGCGGTAGAGAGGTCTCGACTGATTCCTGGACGCCGGAGGTGAAAATATATACTAACATATTCATGGTTTCACTCAAAATATATACATTATGCTTCATGGCATACAGTCATGGTTCATGGCTTACAGTTCTTGGAAATAGTGAATTCGTAAAATCGATCCAACTTGGGAGAAGAAAGACAGTCCTGCCGTGCTCCCTGAGTGCTCGGCAAAGGATCCGGACGGGGGTTTATGTCAGTCTTCCGAGTTCATCAATTGAGTTCCCTTTTTGTTCATTTTCCCACGTCTTTTGCTCATTTGACTCATTTACCTTTTTCATCAATCTCCACAGCCTTGTCATCCAGCACTTTTGACCATCCCACTCTTTGCCAGCAAAACATCGCAGCCGCCGAACCCTCCCTCCTCTCCTTTGCAGCCACTCTGGGCTCAAAACCGGTGACAGTTGCTCGTCCGAGTACGCCAGCGCTGGGTCCAATGCCATGGCGCATTTCGCCATTCTTCTAAGTTTGGCCGTGTGTGCCACAGATGCACTCGACCTGCCGGATCTACCAGGATTCCTGGAGAATCTGGGAGACGCGATTGTAGAGAGTGCAAAGGATGTATATAGTGGCAAGTTCACGTGGAATTACACGTGGCACGACAGCACAGTGCAGGCCCCATCCCAGTTCCTGCCGCTTGTGGATCAGATTAGAGAGATGCCAGAGGCAACTCGAGATGAAAGAAACCATTGGTTCGGTTCTTGTTTTCTTGTTTGTTTCGTTGTCGTTGCTTTTTGTGGAACCATAATCGTGACTCTTGCGCCCATGGTGAAGGGACACGCACCACAATCTTACATCCGGGTCGGCAGTATCCAGAGAGGGGAAGCGGCCTCCGAGCCCGAAGTCATCTCTGAGCCCTCCCAGTCGTTGAGCAAGTTGTGTCAGACAGTGCTGGTCGTTCTGAGCTTCGGAGGCACCTTCCTGGCAAGTCTCACTGCGTGCGTTTGGAGCCTCCAGACGGGCCGACTGTCCAAAACCGTTGGACTCGATTGGGAGGTTTACCTCCTGCTGTTTGCTCTTGTTTCTTTCTGGTTGCTGGTTCAAGCAGTTTTTGCTGTTAGAATGTTAAAGCCCGGAGAGAAATTCAAGCTTTCAACATTTGTGGTGGCGTGTCTAACATCGTTGACACCATTTGTGTCTGACTATTTTGACACTTTGAAAGATGCCATTTTCGGAGCACTGTGTGTCCAATCGCAACACCTGGGAATTCAGATACTCGGTTGGCTTTGTTGGGTATACCTCCTGGCCATTCACATATTTTTTGTGCGCCGACCGACATGCTTTGCCGAATTGTCTTCCACATATTTGTCGGTTCTATTGGCCTCTCCGGCTTCCCAGGAGGAATCTGGAGGAGGAGGTTGTTTGCAAGAGCTACTCTTGCTTCTATACAAACAGTTGACCAGCACCAAGCGGGAAATGCTGTTGATTGAAAATGTGCCTCAGGCCGTTTTCTCCATAGCATTCCTGTACTTTGAAGGTGGGTCAACCTTTGTCACAATTGTGAGTCTAGGCGTGCCAATTGTGCAGATCGTCCTCACGCTTCTGCTCACCAATCCCGTGCGACGATGCGTGGCTACTGCACTTGGCAAGAAGATCAACGAAGCTTTGATACGCGGGAACTATGTCATGTCTTGGCAGATATGGTGTGAGGCAGGGTGCTGTTGCGTAAAACGAACGAGTGTCGAAAGTCAAAAGTCAGTGATGTCCTTTGCTATCCGAGGGTTTTGAAACACAAAGGCTATCCTTGGAATCGGGCAAAACAGGCAGTTCAACTGGGGAAGTTTCAACAAACTCGAAGTTGTGCTTGAAGCCCTCAAGTCTTCCTGGCGGCAATGTTTTTCATCAGTCTGAGAATTCGTTGCACAGTCTTTTTGAAACAGAAGGTCGAAGGTTCTACCGGAAGCTGGATTTGTGCACTTCAGGTGTTTCAACGAATTATAGTCGAGGACAAGGATTAGGCAGAAAAATATCTGCCAAGAACTCTTAAAATATGTATTTTTGAGACCATGTGGGACGGACGGAAAAAAGCTGATGGGCAGCTCAATCAATTATATACCTTAGACCTTTTTGGGCTTGAGTGTCAATGAATGTAAGATTCAAGAAGCTTTTTGGACAACCCACAACTCTAGAGAGGGGGAGGGAGGGAGGGAGGGAGGGAGGGAGAGAGAGAGAGAGAGAGAGTGTTAGAGAGAGACAAAGGACGAAAAAGCAAAGGCAAAACAAAACAGCAATATATAGTCGTGACTATATATACTCAATACACTCTGTATAATGAGGCGCCCCCTGAGCCCCCCAGTAAGCAGATTGGATGGGCACTTCAGAGCGACCCCCACTATGCATATTTGTAGTGAATGCACACTATCAGAACCAAACATGTGTACACCTGTACACCCCATCTGCTTAATTTCGACTGGTAGTTTTTCTGTTTAATGGTTGTCTTGGACGGGCGTTTCTGTCACCGGCCATGGGGCCTTCAGGAAAGCCACTGCTTTCCGCAGCATCATGTTTTCCGGAAAGCCGCTGCTTTTGGCACACTGTTTTCACCGTGTTCATCACGTCGAGTTCCTGTGCCTTGTTTTTGCTCACGTGTTAGCAACATCCGCTGTCGCAAAGAACTGGGTTCAGCCAAACACCCAGGATCTCCCTATGGCTCCTAGCCTCCGGCAAGGGCTCCCCAGCTGGAACAGAACCTCAACGTAACGAAAGTCACTCAACCTACAAGCCACTGTTGAATCTCCAAAGTCCCCTTTCAAGTGGCTACCAGTGTTCAGCTTCGGCTCCTCCGAATTCAGGGTATTTCTGCGAGTAGGTGCACGAAGGCCGAAGGCGGTCGGTTTGAAGTTAGACCCGCTAACGTTCCCAAGCGCCAGACCTGGTTTTTGCCAGGCTGGGTAGACTCTAGTAAACGGCCTGTGGCCAGTTTGACAATTCGAGGTTCCTCGAAGCTGGGGCTTCTGTCCTGCCATCGACATTCAACAACCCAAAAAGCCTAAGCTCTGCCCTCACCTCAGCTGGCAACGTATGCATAGCAATGAATAAACAGAATCTCCGCCCCTCGTATTCAGATGTATTCAGAACAATCTGGCTGGCGTTTTGACTTACGGGAGTGCCAACCACATGTCTGTGTGAATTCACCCCTGCCCGTCCAACCATCTCGGCCGGGAAACCCCAGTGACAATCAGCTAGACTGATGAGCTTGTGGAAGAGGCTCTGGGAGCAGCCCTGCACTCAGCTTAAGCTCCCCGATTCAAACAGATTGACAGCTGCAGCTCGCTCTTTGTTCATGTCAATGTGAATCTCGCAGCCATCCCAGGAACCATCATAGGAAATAGGGACCTCCGATCCCTTCAACCACGACTGCATTGTAGGACCCATCAACCAATAAGGCCACAAGAAGGTGGGCCTGGGGCCAACGCTCCCACATGCCTTGGACAGGAAGTAGCGTACATAGAGGAAGGCCTGTGCAAACAGGGATTCGACCCACAACGGACTTGGCAAGAAATCATAGCTGCCAAGTTGGGGATTCATAGCCTTTGGCTCAGGGTTCGTTTGCCTTGGGGCCTTGACCACATTAAAGTACGGTACAACGACGTGTTCCTCGGGGTGTTCGTCTCCGCATAGCTTTTCGAAGTGGTGTCCGAGCGTTTCAACTTGATGTCTAAAAAAAACTAAATCCGTGATCATGATGTGGCTGAAAAATGGCACTCAAAACCACTGGACAAAAGGAAAGCATGGAAATACGATGAAATACCTCGCCACATCCCAGAAGTGTTTGGGGGACGCTATACCAAAACGCTGCTCTTCCCGTGAGCAGCAAGGTTGATGAGTTGTTTTTCTCTGAAAGGATGGTGTTCAAGTATAGTAACCACATCTTAGGCTGGGTTGAAAAAGCAAATGCTTCAGTTGACAGAACAACCGAAAGGTCAGCCACCCAATAAGTGCGTTGCGGAACTCAAGCATCCTTAAATGCCATCGAGCTCAACGCGGAAATTACACTAGACGCAAGAGGTTCAGCGTGGAAAGATGCTGCCAGTTTCTGTCGGAACACATTAATCCGGTACTGAAATGGATGTTAATATCACTACATTGGGGATCACTCTAAACTCCTTTGTTTACCCTCAGGTCATGTGTTTTGCTTTGCCAGTAACACCTACAGTAGCGAGCTTATAGCAATGACAACATCGTTCACCTTGGGGTCCAACAAGACTTCGTGACTTGGTCGGGTGGGACAAGCAGGTGGTCAAAGTGGACATCAAATAAACAGTCCACGGTCTGACACACAATCAACTCTGGATGTCTTACGCCTGGCACAGGATTCCCACCAGAGTGTTGTTTTGCCAAATGGATTTACATGGTGTTGTGAGCCATTTGCAAGTTATCTCTCTCTACTATATATATATATACACATGCTAGAAGATTAGCATGGCAATAAGCAGGTATTGGCTTTGAAGTGGATGTCATTGTTTGGCTAAACAAGAAGACAAGTCTTCCCTCTATAAGGCCGAGTTCGAAGAGAACTTGGATCTCCTCCGGGAAGCATTGGAGGAGATGGGCATCGTGCGTGACCTTCTTGAGATTGAGGCGATGCGGGGGTTGAGTGATTGCTCTGCAAACACAGACAGCACAGACCACCCACATCAAAACAGTTCCAACCCAGGTGACTTGTGTTCCAGAGATAACTACACTTTGCTAAGTGTGAACAATCAGGGAAGAGAGGGCTAGTTTTTGCTTTGTCGTGGTCGTGGTGGAAGCTTTTCTAGCTTCAATGTAACAGATGCATGGACCTATTTGCCTGTATTTGTTCCATTGCTTGTGACAATTGTGCTGGTGTTTATCTGTAGTCGCTTTCAAACCCACAGCCTATGCATTATCTCTTGATTGGTTGCAGTTTGACTACCTGATGTTTGTGACCTGGATTGTTTGAGTTCAAGCCTGACCTTGGCAAGTCGAGTGCAGCTTAGCCATGTGTTGTGATCTAAACTTTCCAGATTCGGGAAAAACAGCCTACTTCCATCGAAACTGAAATGTCTATGAAATCTCAGGAAATTCACAGAGCTTTTGTTCTTGTGGTACTATTCTTTTCAGCAGCACAACCCACTGTTTTAATAGGTTGTTAAAGCTTTGACACCAGCGCTTGTGCGAGGTTGGTGCATGCTCACTCACTGTCCCACAGTTTCCATTTCTGACCACGGTGACAACCAAGTTGAGGATGCCAAGATGCTGGACAACGAGTCGATGAAACAGAAGCTTCCTTGGATCAGGGCTATCGCCAACCAGTCCACAGAGGTTTCTGAGCGGTATTATAGCTAACTTTGGCCAACATGAAGAATGTGAACTTGTCCAAGAACTCTCTTTGCATATCCTTGTTTGGTTTCAATGGGACAACAATATGATGTTTGGAATCTCATATACGTAGTTCACCGTAAGTTGTATTGATGCATTTTGGCAAGATCGTCGATCAACCGAGCGCTGGCCATCCACAGCGATCAGGACATCAAGCCTGTGCTAGAAGAATGTTCCGGGGCCTTCAGCTTGGACCAACACCGTGGCGCTTTGTTTGAATGTGTTTGTTCAAAGCGTACTGTTATTCACGGGGAGAACTGTTTGCATGATGTGCTCGATAATTGTTTACTGATTTGTTTAAACTCCTAAACGTGAAACCTTTGTGAAGCCAGTGTGAAGCCTTTGTGTCGTTCTTGCTCAGGATGACCTTGGTTGAGTTGTTTCTTGTTATTTGTCAGAGTTGGTATTGCTTTCACCGCATTGAAACAAGTGATCGTTCTAGGCCTTAAGAAACTTGTCCCTCATATGTGTGGATGTGCCAGGCTTTAGGGTGACAACTACAAAGGCTTTCTCAAAGGAATTGATGCTGGTCACTCATACACTGAGTTTCTGCATGTTTGTCAATGAGGCAGCGATGTCAAGGAGCTGCAAACAAAGAAGGCTGGTTACGACTAATGTCCGGCCATAATATGTAGCAACGGTGTTGAGGGTTGCCGCCAATATGACAATGTCATATACTCACTAAGCTTACACTTTGCAATTTTGATGGTATGCCGCATGCCTCTACAGGTATGGGGCTGGTGATCTGGGCTTGAGTTCTTCCAAGCCCTGAACGAGCTCGGTCAGTCTAGATGAATGGGACGTGTCGATGAACCTTGAATGGGAAATGTTGGAAGATATGCATAGTCACGGACCAATCAAGGCAGACAAGGGGAGAAGACATCAAAGATGATTTCTGGGTCAGTCGCCATCGCCCAAGCCAGACTGAATGGCACCTATCATAGCAAACCTAAACCCCATGGAAGAGTGGGACCCACAGTAGTTGTTCAGATTTGAAGCCGCCTGGACTCGAAGCTAAGATGTGCATATCCAAGACGAGCCCTCCAACATATCTTGAGGGGATACATTGACATGCTCCATCACAGGTCCTGACATTGCCCTTCTCTTTGGAATTCCTAAATCTTGGGCAGGAATCGGAACTTAATTTGGGAGTGATGCAGATTGGCGATGCTTTGGCGCAGGCCTGGAATGTCATTCAAACATCTCTCATGCGTTTCCTTGGCTTTGATGTTGATCGTACACTGCAAAGACTTTGCAGCACTCACCACCATACCTCTATTTTGCAATGCACATGTCTCAGATTTTATCAGTATCAGTTTTACGGAGTTCTTCACTTCTAGCTTCTATCATTGAGTGAGCCGTTTAGATGCCCACTGTGTTTCGGATAACTTCCAACAGAAGTCAGTGAAGGAGCGTGGAACATCGGCCGCCCTTCCAGCCCTTCCTTAGTTAGTTCACAATTGAAGCCAGTGTGCGTTCTTCAACATGTGGTTGAGTTATATATACACGAGTTTCAGCTCATCTCAGTGTGTCAGAGTTGTGAGTAGTGTTTGTTATTTCACCATCACCACCTAAAGACCCTTCCGTCGAAGCCAGATTGAACCTTCCCACTTCTTGCGTGTGTTTTCTTTTGTTTTCTTTGTTCCAAGGTCTCCAGAACTCCTCCCCCCCAAGTCCTCCTCCGAGCCTCGCAGGCACTGGCCGAAGCGCTCAAGGTGAACAACACTGTTGAAAGGATTAATCTCGAACAGAACAACATCGGTCCCGCGGGCGCAGAGGTGCCCTGCTGGGGGCCGGAGCGGGCAGATCTCCGTGGGTGGCATCAGAGTGTGTAGACAGGGCCCCCCCTAGTCATGGGGGGAGTGGAGAAGTTTCAGGTGAAGTCCGAAGTGTGGAGATTTGAAGCGAAGCAGGAAGGTGTGGAACCAGATACCAACAGTGATGTTTGAGGCTTGTGGGTGCTGGTCAGACCAGCAAAGATAGGTCCAGAGCAGACTCATGAGAAGCGGAAATGCTGTGTCGTGCTGTGTCATTTCTTCACTACACTTCCCTTCGTTGAGTGAACCATTCAGATGTCCACCAACAGAACACTAGTTTGTTCCTCAGCACCAATTTTACGGAGTTCTTTACTTCTAGTTTCTATCATTGAGTGAGCCGTTTAGATGCCCACTGTGTTTTGGATAACTTCCAACAGAAGTCAGTGAAGGAGCGAGGAACATCGGCCGCCCTTCCGGCCCTTCCTTAGTTAGTTCACAATTGAAGCCAGTGTGCATTCTTCAACATGTGGTTGAGTTATATATACACGAGTTTGAGCTCATCTCAGTGTGTCAGAGTTGTGAGTAGTGTTTGTTATTTCACCATTACCACCTAAAGACCCTTCCGTCGAAGCCAGATTGAACCTTCCCACTTCTTGCGTGTGTTTTCTTATGTTTTCTTTGTTCCAAGGCCTCCAGAACTTCTCCCCCAGTCCTCCTCCGAGCCTCGCAGGCACTGGCCGAAGCGCTCAAGGTGAACAACAGTGTTCGAAAGATTTATCTCCGGAGCAACAACATCGGTCCCGCGGGCGCAGAGGTGCCCAGCTGGGGCCGGAGCGGGCGGATCTCCGTGGGCGGCAGCAGAGTGTGTAGACAGGGCCGCCCCTAGTCATGGGGGGAGTGGAGAAGTTTCAGGTGAAGTCCGAAGTGTGGAGATTTGAAGCGAAGCAGGAAGGTGTGGAACCAGATGCCAACAGTGATGTTTGAGGCTTGTGGGTGCTGGTCAGACCAGCAAAGATAGGTCCAGAGCAGACTCATGAGAAGCGGAAATGCTGTGTCGTGCTGTGTCATTTCTTCACTACACTTTCCTTCATTGAGTGAACCATTCAGATGTCCACCAACAGAACACTAGCTTGTTCCTCAGCACCAATTTTACGGAGTTCTTCACTTCTAGTTTCTATCATTGAGTGAGCCGTTTAGATGCCCACTGTGTTTCGGATAACTTCCAACAGAAGTCAGTGAAGGAGCGTGGAACATCGGCCGCCCTTCCGGCCCTTCCTTAGTTAGTTCACAATTGAAGCCAGTGTGCGTTCTTCAACATGTGGTTGAGTTGTATATACACGAGTTTCAGCTCATCTCAGTGTGTCAGAGTTGTGAGTAGTGTTTGTTATTTCACCATTACCACCTAAAGACCCTTCCGTCGAAGCCAGATTGAACCTTCCCACTTCTTGCGCGTGTTTTCTTATGTTTTCTTTGTTCCAAGGCCTCCAGAACTTCTCCCCCAGTCCTCCTCCGAGCCTCGCAGGCACTGGCCGAAGCGCTCAAGGTGAACAACACTGTTAATGTGATTAATCTCGAACAGAACAACATCGGTCCCGCGGGCGCAGAGGTGCCCTGCTGGGGGCCGGAGCGGGCGGATCTCCGTGGGTGGCATCAGAGTGTGTAGACAGGGCCGCCCCTAGTCATGGGGGTTGTGGAGAAGTTTCAGGTGAAGTCCGAAGTGTGGAGATTTGAAGCGAAGCAGGAAGGTGTGGAACCAGATACCAACAGTGATGTTTGAGGCTTGTGGGTGCTGGTCAGACCAGCAAAGATAGGTCCAGAGCAGACTCATGAGAAGCGGAAATGCTGTGTCGTGCTGTGTCATTTCTTCATTACACTTTCCTTCATTGAGTGAACCATTCAGATGTCCACCAACAGAACACTAGCTTGTTCCTCAGCACCAATTTTACGGAGTTCTTCACTTCTAGTTTCTATCATTGAGTGAGCCGTTTAGATGCCCACTGTGTTTTGGATAACTTCCAACAGAAGTCAGTGAAGGAGCGTGGAACATCGGCCGCCCTTCCGGCCCTTCCTTAGTTAGTTCACAATTGAAGCCAGTGTGCATTCTTCAGCATGTGGTTGAGTTATATATACACGAGTTTCAGCTCATCTCAGTGTGTCAGAGTTGTGAGTAGTGTTTGTTATTTCACCATTACCACCTAAAGACCCTTCCGTCGAAGCCAGATTGAACCTTCCCACTTCTTGCGCGTGTTTTCTTATGTTTTCTTTGTTCCAAGGCCTCCAGAACTTCTCCCCCAGTCCTCCTCCGAGCCTCGCAGGCACTGGCCGAAGCGCTCAAGGTGAACAACACTGTTAATGCGATTTATCTCCGGAGCAACAACATCGGTCCCGCGGGCGCAGAGGTGCCCAGCTGGGGCCGGAGCGGGCGGATCTCCGTGGGTGGCATCAGAGTGTGTAGACAGGGCTGCCCCTAGTCATGGGTGGAGTGGACAAGTTTCAGGTGAAGTCCGAAGTGTGGAGAGTTGAAGCGAAGCAGGAAGGTGTTGAATGGATTTGTGATTGTTTATACTAAATAGACAGAATCTGATACAGTGTCAATAATGACGGTATTCACAATGGCATGTATCGTAGGCTTTTGGTTGTTTGTGAAATTGAAAGTGAAGAGTGGATTTGGATCAATGGCTGTGGTGGTCAAAAATGCCAATTGATGCTTCATTCATTCTTGTTTCAGTTTCTGGACTGTTGAGTGTTGAGAATCGACTGACAACATCAGCTGACCAAACACTGGAGTCCTTTCCTTGACAGTTTTTGTGAAGAAGGGGTCAGTTTTGCCAGGTTGCTCATCGAAATTCAAACAAGTCTTTTGCTGACTCATGATAATGGTGATAGACTCTAGACTCTAGACTGCCATTTGTGCGGTTTCTCAACTTGTTTGCTGTCAACGTGTTTGTTTACAATTTTCCTGAAATGAAGTCCGAACGATGTGGATGTAAAGGGCAGCAGAAAGATCTATATATAACTAAAACCAGTACAACAATCAGTTTGTTATAGTTTGTGCTCTTACAGCGTGTGTGTTTGTGAGCTTTTGTTTTTGAGCATTCCTTGTCTAAATTGTGTGCTGGATGAGTATACAGATGCACACTCTGCAATTCATGCGAAGCTTGGAGTTCTGAGTGTCTAGTCTTTCCTCAAAGGATTACATGTCAAAAGTTTTCACAAAAGCCTTTCAACACTGCGACAACTGGTCGACCACTGGAGTGCTGTCAACAGAAGCAGACATAGTTGTTTGCCCTGCGTCCAAGCCCAACCAGGCGCTAAGGCTAAGAGAAGTGGCAAGGATGAAGAGAGAACGTGGAGAGACGTTCGATTTGCACTTGCTGCTCGGCGACCTGTGGAGTTGTTGTTCGAAAAAACAAATCATTGGATCCTAGGAGTTTTTCCCCAACAGGACTACCTGTCTACCTGTGAGGGTTTCCTTTGAAAGAGTGTTTTTGCTGGTCCTATAGTGATCTACGAGTCTATGCTGCAATTTGTTTTTTTGGCGCCACCATAACGCTTTGGACCTGTGTTTTGGTCATTCTGTCCATTGTTCCTTTGGGAGAGTCTCATGGTGAGGCTGCGTTGAGACACTTTCAGCAACGGTGCAAGTCGTTTGTTTGTAACTCCGACTGCTTGTTGTCAGAAAAGATCAGAAAAGCAAATAACATGCTGCGACGTAGCCAGCAGCTTCACTTGTTGTGCTTCGCTGAATCTGTTTGAATTCCCATTTGGCCCTGAACAGGCTTGGGTTTCCTTCAGTTGTGGCATGTAAAAGTGCATTGACAACCTGTACACAGTTCTTTCATGTTCTCTCTACACGGTCCAGAGTGGATTGCTAATGCCCCTTCTCTATCCAGATGAAATGCAGTCAATGTCCTCCAGATGGTTTCAAAACTTGACAATACGCACGCATGTTTGGTGCATGTGAGATTGGTGTTTCTTTTGGGTATTCCAGCCATTCTTGAGTCTTTTTCACAATTTTCAGGTGACATCAAGACTTGCTTTGCGGTGGCATGGGTGTCCGGATAGTGCCAGACGGCGGGAGCAGACGTGCCGCTGGCATCAAGGCCCCCTTCACGTGCAACTTCAGTTTGGGCAAACTCACAATCCTTCCTTTGCCAGTTCCTTATGATTTTCTTTTAACCTGCTTCCAGGGGATGATTGGGGCGCCTCGGTCATTCTTACATGGACCACGGAAGATAGTCCCGCCTTAGTTCTGGTCGAAATATATTGGTTGAGTTAAAGGATCGTACTCGATGGTGTTTCAAGAACCAAAATTCTGATTTTGACCCCAAGAGATTGACCAGTTGAGGAACATGGAAACTGATGCAGCAGCAGAGTCTGCAACAGCTAGTCACAGCCAAACAAATAGTAATCATATGGAATCATATATCCATGCGTGTTGCTGTTGACATGCCGTCGTGCCGGTAATACTCAGTGCACCCATTTGGAACCGTGGCTGCCAGTTCATGAGTTGTGTTTTTTTGGTTGTTGTGTTGTGTCTTTTTGTTTGTTCAATTATGGTAGTTTGACAGAGTGTTGTTTAAAGAGACTGCAACCCTCGAAACAGCAACCATTGAACCCGCTTGACCGAGGCCAGCGTGAGGAAGATCAGAAATGATTTTGTAAGAACTGGACGACTTTAGCTGCCCACGGTTGATCTCAGAGGTCACAGGAAACCATCAAACTTACACACAATTCAAACACCTGCATCGTGTTAGCTTGAAGAGTCGGAATTCCATGCCATGATTCAACAAATTCATCATGAGTAGTTGGAGAAATTGACACCAACTCAGGCAGTTGTGGCATGGCATGGAATTGATACCAGTTATCATCATGAATTGGTTGATCACAAATACGTCATACTCAGATGCTTAGCTGGTTTCTTTGATCAACCCAAAGGGCAAACTCGGACGGTTGGGGCCAAAGAGCCACGTCCGGAACCACCCACGTCTGCGTTTGAGCGAGCCACGGTCTGAGGCAGAAGGGGAACCATGCATCTGACCGCGTCGAGAGGGGTAGAACCATGCGTCGAACGAGTTTGCAGATGTTTTTTTCTGTGAATATGTGTCACATAGTATACCAAGCTCTGAGGAACCTGTGCAACCTGGAGCTGTGAGGTTGGGAGGGGCACAGTATGGTCCAATTGGTAAACTGATGCCTTCTCTTTTTTAAACCCAAAGCTTTTGTTCCTTAGCCGGTTGCTGATAGCCCATGATATCCCAGGATCACACCGCTTACTTACACATGTTTTTGTTTGGCGATTGTGTTCTCGAAGCTTCTGTTGTGGACCTTGTGGAAGGATGCAGTTTCCGACATAAACAAGTAAGAGCTATTGGACGTTTCACGAGGTTTTGTCAACAAGACAGACGTGTGAAATGTGCGGTTTTCCGTTTAGATTGTTTGGACAAGCTATGTACATTGTGAAGCATTCGATCCAGGTTCGATCACCGGCCTTTTTAGCACAATTCCTTCTGAGAACTCACATACTTTTAGGTTGGGGGTAACCTGGATCGCAGAGTGTGGACGTCGAAAAGCACTGATGACGCTAATATGTTGCTATAATAACAAAAGTGATGGTTCTCAGTGCTCTCAGCTCAGGCACAAGCATGAAGCCTGAACTTGATCTCGGAAGAACGTTCACGGGGCCACAGAGGGGATTCACTAATGCCATAATTGGCCATAATAGTGATAATGGTTCAATGTTATTCAATCAGATTCAAGACTGCTATAATAGCTAGTCCAGGAAACACAACATATGCTAAAGAGCTTTGGATCTCTTTGATCAAGTCACAGAAGGCAGGGCATGGCAGGGCTATATAATGGCCCGAAGAGCCAAGCAGCCCAGTTCTTGGAGAAGCGTGCAGCGTGCTCTAGCAGCTAGCGAGAAATCCGACGGGCTGCCTTCGATCGGTGTTGTTGTTCCTCGGTGATGCGATCGCGGCGCCGATTGGTTGAGTCGATTGGATGAAGCATGGCGCGCAGGAAACCGTGCAAGGCTCAAGGAGAACCACATTCTGACTCAATGCGGAGAAGTACCGGGATTGCGGTAAATAAAACAGCACACTGTGAAGTTACAGAGCTAGCTGCAAAGGGCTTTGATAGACGATTATATTATATACTTTGTTCGACACATCCAATGACAATTGCCGCTTTGCCCTGCCCAATCCGCTTGGGGATATTAACATTCAAATGAAGAACGTATTCTTTATGATGCAACCAGGCTTGGACAGAATGCTCAAACCCGCCAACAGGTGTAATCCTTCTTTGAATTGCTTTGGTTATGTATGGCACGTTCTTTCACATGTGGCACGCGCCTGATCGTTGCATCCAGCTTGCTGGCGACGTGGAGTGTTCCGAGTGACTCGGCGTGGAGTGTTCCAAGGTGCTCGCACGACATGCTCATGACTTAAGTGAATTTGGATCATCGTTTGACCTCGGGCGTTTGAATGGCTTTAAGATGCTTTAAGACTTTATATGTCTTCTTTTCCAAATCAAGTGCATTATATATTACGATTCCTGTGGATAATTTGTGCTTGACCACGGTCGACCGCGTTCCTTTTGACCAAACTCCCGTGGTAAAGCACGTGGCTTCATTGAGCTGCTTGAGGTGCCAATGTGCCGGTGGAGATTGACTCGAAACGCCACTTGGCTCATTCTCAACGGCCTGTTCAGTTTTCAGCTGCAGTTAGAGTTGCAGTTAGGCCAACAAATTTGAGAATGGAGGAGTTTGTGCTTTGCAACCTCCATTGTTTTCATTGTTTTTTCAAACCAAGTTGGTCCAATCTGAGATCAAATGTTGCAGGCGGTACTCGTACAACCTGAGGCCGAATAAACTTGCAGCTCACACTTCCACTTCTTCTCGCAAACCACCTGGGTCCACAGGTTTAGTCAGCAACAGTTCCGTTGAACAGGTTTCCTTGGATGAATTTTTCATTTTGTTTCTCCAGCACTCAGACAGAAAAGCTGGTTGGAGTTACTCGTAGATATCAGAATGCGAAGAGGTTGAAGTAACAGCCACAGGGTGACCAGCTTGAAATGGCAATCCTTTTGTATGGAGCACTTGCATCAAGTTGTTTCTGGCAATGGCCTGTGTACGGTCAGGTCCCTTAGTCTAGGGAGTGCCATGGTTCGAATCGCCAAGCCAGGGTGTTTACGTGCATGTAAATCATGACAGCCAGGCTGTGCCGCACATGAGATGAGCCATATGAGCTTTGGCTTTGGCAGTACCACACCGGACTCGGAATCAGATCGACCATCCCCAGCTGAGGAAACAATGCCTTCAAACTCTTGAAAAAGTTGGGCACTCGCCAGGGCCGACGCCACTCGGCCTGCCTCGGCCAGTGCAAGCTGGTGTGGGTGGTGAGGTCTGGTGAAACGATGTGGAACGATACATTTGGTCGGCAGCATGAGGTAAGCTTGGCGGGTCATTCTTGAACTTCGAAGTTCTTTGGGTCATTCTGTGGGTCATTCTGGTTCTGAGTTCTGAGTTCTTCATATTTGATGCAACGCACAGTGCATATCCATGTCAGACTGGCTTCTGCTTCTGACCTTCTGAGTTCGCCTCGCGTCATCCGGACGCCTCGCCGCACATCCTCGGCCGGACACCGCCGTCGCCGAGGCAAGTTGGGCCGCTTCGTGGCGGAGGGCGAGACCTTTCTGCGGCTCAGACCTCGAACCGTCTTCGTGCGGAGGAGCCGATGGCAGGAGGCCGGTGGATGGGCGGGTGATGGGCGGATGACGTGGCTTTTGAGGGGGAGAAGGTGTGTTTTTTCTGCTTGATTATGATAGGTGGTACTTAATTGAGGCATTTTGCTTCAAGATCATGGCAGAATCCATTTGAGAGCTTCGGTCTGCGTGAGTGATTTGAAAGCTATTGAAACCTATAAACCCATGAATTTGACCTGTAATTAGTAATTGGATAATAGATTTAAGCTGTATTTATCAGACAAAAATGACTTTCTTTTCGAAGGGTGCCAGGTTCGATCTCAGATCCTCCGGACTTTCGGCCATCCGTACCGACTCGTAAGGATTAGGCCGCGCTGAATTCAACGGATTAGAAGGTCTTGACCCACAAGGCTAATTTGTGGTCCATGTTTGTGGTGTCAAAATGTTTGGTTTGACCCATCGATTCATCATTTGACACGTTTCCTTTGCACTTCCAGTGGCCGCTGCCAGGGTTCCCAGTTCTTGGCGCCGAGCGTGTTGGGGAGCCGCGAGGCACCTGCGGAAGCTGCTGCCACGAGGTGGGTTCAGGGTCACCAGAGGTTTTGGGTGGGTTTCAGTTTGTTTTGGACGTGTTTTCATGTAAAGCGAGTTCGAAAAATCCGTCAAAGATATACATATTATTATATACTTGTTACAGTACTTGTTACAAGGGTTAAAATGGTTATACGGTATACGGTTATATACTGTAATTGTATGATTGATGTTAAATGCAGTTGAGATAATGTTTGTTGGTTTTGTAGTTCTGGAGTCTTGGGTCCTAAACTTCCTTGTGAATTGATGGCAATCTGGAATATGATTATTGTTCTTTGCATGAGCTGCAGAGGCTTATGGTAAGGTTGATATGTTAACTGTTAATCGCTGTCATTGGCACTATCTCAACGTTTGTTATGTCCAGCATTTCTGCAGAGCCAATTGAGCCAATCCAGCGTGCCGTCACAACCACAACATCCGACAATCATACGATCCATTTAGGGTCTAGATGAACTGTGTACACTTTGTTGACCCACGTCGATCAGATGAGTTTAGATACACCCGGCTGTCCAACCCCTATATACTCGAACACAGACCATTCTACTGCCTGAATCCTTGTAGGTTGTCAGACCACTTCTCAATACCTAGAACATCCTAGAACCTAATATCATTATATAATTTCACCTTTGTTTTGATGGTTTGTGTATTTTTTCAACATGTCAGGTGTCAGGTTCTATAGGTTTTTCAAAGCTCTTCCAACACGTCATCCAAACAGGCCACTCACCTGGGGCGGCGGCCTCCCCATGGACCCCGGCAGCGCGATGGCGGACGACACCGCCAGCGTGGCGGTCCTGCGGAACGAGCTCTTCGATGAGATCTCCACGCAGGAGACGCCGGCGGCAGCGGTTTAGATGCGGATTTTTTGCAGCAAGAAGCGTCCAATTGAAGAGTCCATTCTGAAAGGAAACGAAAAGGAAGAAGACATACATAAAGAAAACAGATGTGGAAAACTCGAAGTTGGATACCCTGAGCCTCAGGTATGTCAGAGTGAATAATTACAGTCGAATAAATTAGATGAAGTCGGAATAAGTTGGATACCACCATCACAACCTCCTCACAAGTTGCTTGGGTGGACAAATGGACTCAGCAGGCCCCGGCACCGCTTATACAGCGTCGGTGGACCGGGTGATGGGGTCCACCGAAACATTCTCCAACCTCATGGACTCATCACGTTGTCCAGTGCTAAGGTGTTCAGATGTGTTCAGCATGTTTTGAGCCTTGTGTCGTTGTTGCTGTTGCTGTTGCTGTTGCTGTTGCTGTTGTTGTTGTTGTTGTTGTTGTTGTTGTTCTTGTTCTTTTGGTTTCTGGAATTTGGGTGGGCAACCTGTAGGCAGTTTGCTGGCATTGTATTGACTCCCGTTGGCCCCGTTGGCCCTTGCACTGCTCTTTAAGAGGTTGGCAATCCGGACAACATGGCACTTAAGTATGAATCAAACAGGTATTCAATTCAATATCAACATGATTTGAGTGCTATTGATGAACACCCGCAACAGCATCAAATCGCCAACACTGGCTGTGCCTACCGTGGCCCTGCCCTCTCCCAGACCTCGTAAATCAGGACCTTTCGATATAAGCAGTTATTTTGATTTTTGTTGACTTCAAACACTTCAAAACATCTTCAAAACCGTCTTCGAGATCGCAGCACGGTCGATCCTTCGTTCCTCGATATCATGAGAAGAACAAACATTTTGTTCAGAGAAAAACAACAAGAACCCATGTCCATCGCCGCCGCGTCGGGGGACTGCTCACTCCGATTGGCAGTTTTGGGAGTCGCTTTGCTCGGTTAGGAGAAGTCTCAGGGAGTTCTTTGCGTCTTCGGATTGCCTGAGGCGGGTCGAGGGTCTGCCTGGGTCGGGTCAACTCGGTCGAGGGTCTGCGTCTGAGTCTATGAGTTGTCAGAGTTGACGTGTTTGGCCAAGCTTATTATAATGTATTTTGCAAGTTTTAGATAAAAGGGGGCAGAGGAATGATAACACCGTGCTAAGCTTGGATTCTTTGAGCCTTTAACCAGGCTGGAACGGTGGAATCTAAGTTTCTAGCGGCTTACAACGGACTGTGACTAGACAAGACAGGAAGATGGAGCCAAGAAAGCACAGGTCCCATGTCCAAGGTGCTTACAGCCACTTCGGTGATAAACGGTTGAGACCCATGACCTGGTCCGACCAGCTTTTGTTCACCCAGGTGCTGACTTCTACTTCTAAGATCTTATAAGAACCTACTGGGCAGTGTGTTTGCCTTAACGGTGTTTGCCTCGTTTGACATGGATTCCCCCGCCTTCCCCCCGCCGACCATCGGGTCGGGTCGGACTGGCCGTCGTTATGGGCCTTTTTCAGGGCCCCGCGCCAGCGATCGGGCAGAGGGTGGTGGTGCTGGATGGCGCAGCTCGGATTGTCCGAGGGTGAGAGGGTGATGTGGTGGGTGTGGAGGATGTTTGGCATCCAAGGTCTGACAAGGATGGGTGCATCTAGAAGGTCTTTAGGTCTTTAGAGACATCTAAGATCTGGATCCAACTGAAGGGTTTTCGAGATAGATGATGATAGATTCGGAAACGACATCCAGTAGATGAACCAAAGAAACTGACCTGTAGTGTTGAAGATGAAACCGCAAGATCTGGAAAGCGTTGCTCCACCACTACACTATGCAAAGCAGGTTCTGGGCTGTTCTAGGGGTTGCGTGTTGTGGTTGAGGGAATAAGTGGGGGGGTGGGGGGGTCGGGTCGGTTTTTTCTGACCTTTCTCCTGAAAACATTGCACGCGGTGTTTGTATGCCTCCGGTCTAAACACGTTGGCCTCCACTCTTTTGCTCACTTTTGCCGCAATCCTCAGACCAGCCCCACAAGGGCCCTGGAAGTGGATGACATAGGCTCCAAAAGGAAGACCATTTTTGGAATCGCATGCCAAACAGTCAAGTGGTGGTTCTCCACTTCCATGTCAATGACTCATAATGACTCAGAGAGTAATATCATGGTGTTTCTGGTCCTGCTCACTGTTTACCAACGCATTTGGTACGTGGCTGGTTTCTGACAGCACAGGGCTGGCATGCCAGAAGGTGCTCGCGGGAACGAGGCGAGTCCAACAAGATTGCTTTTGTTTCCATTTCGGCTCTCCTCATGTTCTCCAGATGGTGTTTTTCTTCCAACGGGGGTCTTCTTTTCGGAACCAAGGTTGAAGACCCCAACAATTTGGGCGTCATCTTGCGGACTTTGGAGGCCTTCAACTGCAGGAGATCACCACACGGAGGGCAGAACGCACCGGAGAACGGTTTCGGGGGAAACGGGCTGGGCGGGCGACGGATGGATGGAGCCGGCGATCTGCGCTGATGGCCAGGTCAGGAGCCGTCCCGGTCCTTCGATGGACGGTAGCCAGCAGCCATATGGTTGTCGATCTAAAGGTCCTAGTCAGCAGTGTGTATGACGATGACCCGGAACATATCAAAATCTCATTTGGCGAAAGTTTTTTCTCGAGTTGGCGAAAGTATTTTTTTTTGGCGAAAGATCTGGCGAAAGATTAAATATGTACTTTTTATGAATGTTCATTTGCTTTCTGAACAGCTGGTGGCAGTGACTCAGAAGCTAGATGAGCTGTGGAAGTTAGATAACCTGCTGCTGCTGCGGCTGCTACTACTACTACTACTACTACTACGACTACCACTACCACTACCACTACTACTACTACTACTCCTACTACTCCTACTACTACTACTACTATTCCTGCTCCTGCTTTGGGGGGTGGCTTTGCCACAAAACTCTACCCCGCAAAAGGCGAAAGTTTGGCGAAAGTTCAGCTCAAGATTGGCGAAAGTTCACCCTGCCACATCTGACCCCCAGCCCATTATGAGTAAGTTTGAGTGACCGGCTACTACAGTGATTCTTGCAATTTTGATTCTTGCTGACACCCAGGAGAAACAAAAGAGACGTACAGGGTGTCAACAGTTAAGTAGAAGACACATGCTGACAAACAGTGAAGTTTCTATTTTGTGTTTGCCAGTAAAGAAGAAGCCATTGACGTGAACAAAACACAACATACATGGCACACATAAATACAACGTACTTCGGCGAAAGATAAAACGCAGGAAGGCGAAAGTTTGGCGAAAGTAGTTTTTTGGGGTGAAAATGACGGATCCCGGATAAAGGAATTTAGATCAACTCCCATATAGCATTATATAGCCATCCAGAAAGAGGTGAACGGTGAACATGCATAAGGGCCTTGCTGCACTTGAGTTCTTCAGCTGTTGAGCTGATGCTTTTGTAAATTCAACAGAATCAAGGACTCCTGGCATCGTGAAAAGGAGACAAGGCCCAGGTGTTTCTGTTTAGAAGAGTATGACACCAGTACGCCCAGTACCGCGGGATGTCAAGCCTCGTCAGAAACATCAGCGCTTGGAGATGTTGGCCGCGGTGTTTCTTCTAGAAGACATTAGACATACTGAGACGTGCTGATACATCAGAGCTTGGAGATGCTGGTCGTTTCACCTACTTGGATGGAAGCTAAATGAAGATAGTCTATCCATATTGGATGTCATCCCAGTTCCGGTCCTGTAGATGTGCCAATGGCACATGTTGTGGAGAAGGACGGGACCGTAGTTCTTATCCCTTCCAGGATGCCAAGCCGGCCCAGCTTGGGGGTGTGACTTTAGCTGTTCGGCTGCACTGTTTCTTCGAATGCTTTCAAAGGTTGAATTTCACTGCAGCCATTTTTAAAAGATCAAGCGCTACACAGTTTCTGGTTGCCACGGGGACGTCTATCTAATGATCAGGAGTTTGCAGAAGTACTGATCAATCGATCTAATTGAGCAAAAGCCCTCAAACGTTTGCAGCCAGTTGCCCTGGATATGTTGTTTTTGCCAACAACGATGTTCATTGATCATGATAGATAGCGCATGAACACGCGCCGTTGCTAATTGTGCTTCAGAATGATTCCCTAAGCGCTAGCTACTCCTGATCCATATATGATTCGACTGATTGTAATTACATCCCGTTGCCTTTGCAGTAAGAATTCATCCACGAACTGACTAATGAACTAACTAACTAACCCAATGAATCCAATTCATGCTTAAAGCCGTACCCTTCTTGTTACATTCACATTCCTCATCCCTTTCGTCTCCTCTCAGTCCCCATGGACCTCCACGACGACCGTCCCTTCACCTTGCAGCTCGTGGCCTTAGACGGCGAAGCGGTCGCCGTGACCGCGGCGCCCACTTCCACGGGGCGGCAGCTGCGGCAGCAGCTCCTGGCGCAGCTGGGGCCGCGGCCGGGGAGGCGGATCGGATGGATGCAGCGAGGAGAGGATGAGGTGGAGTTGACCAAGACGCTGAAGGACGGAGAGAAAACGAAAAGGGATTGGAATGGAAAGGTGGTGGGGGAGAGGATTCTGGTTCTAATGTTAGTTGGGGAAAGGTTTGTGGGAAGGTTTTGGTGTGTGTGTGTGTGATGGGTGGATTTGGGTTACGTTTTTTTTGAGATGATAGAGGACCGACCCCTTGGGGAGTCAGGTAGAGAATGAAACTTGTGGAGAGTGGATATCCTAGTGGAACCGGGACGGACGGAACTTGATGGTCCGTTACACACGGACCGAGGAACACATCACATGGAAGTGGAGTTCACCCTCCGTTCGTAAAGGAAAGTCGTCTTCCAAGGGACCATGCCATCCACTTCCATGTTAGTGAGTCAGTGGAGCTGAGAAACATCAGGAGCAAGGGATTGGAGCCGATGAGCTTGTGAGCTATGTCTATGTGCCTGCCAGTGTGCACGATGGCTGGAAGCTCATTCAAGGATTTCGAGTGGAGGATTATGAGACTGCCTTAGAGGGCATCACCGAACTGAAAGGCATCGACAATCTGCTTTACCTGCGAACACTTCCTTGCAGTCTGCAGAGCATGACCTTTGGCAATCCATTTGACCAAGTGTTGCTGGCAGTTTCTTGGCCAAGCCAGCTTGAACATCTCAAGTTCAGCTACCATTTTGATCAGCGTCTGGAACGAACCGTGTGGCCCAGTCGTTTGAAGACTCTCATCTTCGGCTCAAAGTTCAACCAGCCATTGCAAAGAGTGAAATGGCCTGAAAGCCTGGAGCGGTTGACCTTCGGCGACAACTTCAACCAAAGCTTCGAAGGAGTTACTTTGCCACCCAAACTTCAGTCTTTGACCTTGGGTGGAGACTTTAACAAGAGCTTGGTGGGTGTAGATTTGCCGAGCAGTTTGCAAACATTGACGTTTGGCTGGCATTTTGACCAGGGTTTGCGGGAGGTCACTTTACCCCATGGCCTCCAAAGCCTTGCCTTCGGAAACAACTTCAACCAGAGTTTGCAAGGAGTTCTTTGGCCCGACAGCCTTGTGAGTGTGACTTTTGGGAATAAGTTTGACCAGAGTTTAGAGGGCATCACTTGGCCGAGCGGCTTGCAAAGCCTCACTTTTGCCAGTCAATTTAACCAACGTTTGGAAGGAGTGACTTTCCCCAGCAACCTGAAGGAATTGATCTTTGGCAGCGAGTTCAACCAGAATTTGCATGTCTCATTGCCAACAAGTCTCCAGAACTTGACGTTTGGTGATAAGTTCCACCAGAGTATGGATCCACTAACTTGGCTGAGCAACCTCAAAAACCTCACCTTTGGACATGGTTTCAATGAAGAACTACAGCAGATTCTCCTTCCGAGCCAGCTGCAGACTCTGAGATTTGGAAATGACTTCAATCAATCCTTGAAGGGAATCCTCGGGACTTTGGAACAGCTGCAGAGTGTCACGTTCGGCAACAGCTTCAACCAAAGCTTGGAGGATGTGAAGTTCCCTCCCAGTCTGCAGGTTCTGATCTTTGGAAGTGATTTTAACCAGACGTTGCTTGGAGTAGCTTGGCCCCAAAGCCTCAAACGTTTGACCTTCGGAGTTCACTACAACCAGACCTTGGAAGGAGTGGCTTTGCCGGAAACTCTCGAGACCTTGACATTTGGTGTCGAGTTCAACAGGAGTCTGGATGCGGTGGATTTGCCCAAGAGCTTGCAGACTTTAACTTTGGGTTGGCATTTTGACCAGAGCTTGCAGGATGTGATCTTGCCCAGTGGCCTTCAGAGTCTTTCCTTTGTTTGCAGCCGCATTCACAATTTGAGAGACCTCACTCTACCCAGCGGGTTGCAAATCCTGAAGTTTGGGTTCTGGTTCAATCAGAGCTTGGAAGGCCTGGTCTTCCCCTGCAATCTTAAGACATTGATTTTCGGCCGTGAGTTCAACCAGAGCTTGGACCATGTGACTTTACCCAACAGTCTTCAGACCTTGACCTTCGGTGACAAATTTAATCAAAACTTGGACGAAGTGACTTGGCCCATTGATCTGGAAACCCTGACCTTTGGATGCCATTTTCAGCAGCCTGGCTGTGCAAAGGGCGTTCGGTTTTTAAAGAAAGGCTCTTGTTTTGATGTGGTAAATTCCAAATGCAATCCCATCCATTGCGTGGCCTCCGACTCCGAGCCCGCTCCTCGGTGTATTATATATATATATATATTATAATATGTAATTTAGCACAATCAATCAATCACACACATTGTTCCTGGATATGAGTAGGTGAACTGTCACGATCCAGCCTAGCAGCAACACAACCTCAAAGGCTCTCCTAGCTGCATGGAGTTCTTCACCATCCACAACACACGTCCCCACGTAATTCATTCACGATTCACTCCCTCCCCCGATGTCCAAGAACAAACGAGCTCCGCGACGACCCACACCTCACCTTGACTGGGCAACCTCAAGCTCACCAAACAAGTCAGACCCGACCTCGTTAGCAGTTTGTTCATCCGTTTTTCTAAGGCAAAGTCCGGTTCAACCATCCGTTCAACCATCCTCTTCAACCATCCGTTTGTTCCGTCTGTTCATCCAAGGCAAAGTCTGGAGAAGGTGACCTTTCCGAGCAACTTGGAGAGCCTGACCTTCGGCCACGAGATGCGACGACGCTTGGTCATGGCCAAGTTACCCAGCCGACTCGAGATGTTGACGGTGGGCCGCTCCTTGACCTCGACCAGGGGAGTCGTACCAGACGGGTGAGGGGGCGAGGCGGTTGGATGTCCTAGGAATTTGCGCCAGAAGAGGAGAGATTTAGAAGATCAGAAGAGGAGAACGGAGCTGGATCTCTGCGATTTGAAGTGGAGCCAGTGATTCAAGTGCAGTTGGATGCGGGACTGACTGGGATTGGTAAGGGTTCATGCCAGGCAACGACAAGTATTGGGGTGATGAGACAGTCCCATCTCTTTTTGTGTCTTCTCCCCTGAGGTGGTTTTAAAAAAACTCCTGAGAAAGCGATATGTGGTTTGAGGGATGCTCCCATAGCTTGCATCGAACTGCCCCGGTTTGTCACAAATGACAGACCACAGAGAACCGGAGGAGACCGGAGTCAATGCCCACTCCAACACGGCTGTCCGTTTGGTTCATCGCTTTAAAGACCGTCCGGTCGCTGGAAAAAAGGTCCGTGGATTTCATACATTCGGGCAGAGCGAAATAGAGAGAAGTAGAGATATTAGTGGAGCTGTCCGTGTTCAATTCGGCGCCTTTCAGACGCTGGTTTTAAGGGAGACTTGCTGCCAGTGTCTTGGAGGCTCTTAGATAAAGATAGACACTCAAGGAAACGGAACAGGCAAAATGTGTGTAAACTAGAGAAGGGTGTCGGTGTGTCTCTCTGTGTGTGTGCCTATTGTGGTTGGTGTCATTCTTTCACGCAAGACATGGGTGTCCCTCTCTTTTTGTTTCTCAAACTGAGAGGATTGAGGATGGTTTAACAGATCCTTATATAGAATCTAAGGATCATAAAGATTGCACTAGCCGTGCTAGCAGACACGTTTGATTGGACATATTTCTGATCCAGTGACTAGTAGTCGGGCCTAGCCTCGCCTCAGAAGCTTAGATCAATCACCCCGTTCGTAGAGCTAAATCGTCTTACTTCCCGGGATCTATTTTCCACTTCCATATCCCATACACTCCATGGGACTGGAAAAAGAAAACACATTGACCCCCCAGTCATCCACCACCCCTGGCCTGATCTCTCGGCAGTCCGGACTGGCAGTCCCATTCGTCGCTTTTGGGATTGGGGTGGCTGTGGGGCTGTGGGTCGAGAGCCGCGCCGACCAAGACGTCGGGAGGACCCTGCTGGTGACCAAGGGCACCGTCGATCCCTTCAACGCGAAGGCTGGTAGAGATCTGGCTAAGCATGTATTTCCCTGAATGCCTTCCAAAAACGTTTAAAACATGGGAGAAGACTAGGAGAGACTTGTAGTGAAGAGTTTATAAATTCTCAATCCCCTTCCAAAATGCTTGACACACATTCGGAACGACTTGGTTTTGTAAGGTAAATTCTTTGGTAAAACAGCTCGGTGCTTCGGGATTCAGACCATTCTTTATTTCGATGGTGGTTGGATCCCCAGGGCTTTTGCGCATGTGTTACTTTCCCTTGGCTCCGTTGCGACGTCCACACGCCGGGGGGAGGGGCTTTCCCGTGCTACATGGCAGGTGATTCTAGATCCCTCTATGTTCGGGAGATCAACCGAGCTCCCATGGTTTGTAGGGTGAGCCCGTAAGACCAACCCTACTGTACGAAGCTGAGAACTGCTTTCACCCAGAAGAAGGAAGCAGGGGAACAAGCCACTCAACAGGTTCAAAAAAGTTCGGTTCACCATGGTGAACCTTTCGGTTCCAGGACAAACTGAGGGAGTCAACCCATGGCAGAAGACACTTCTTTGCAAAGCTCGGTGTGGAGTACACTGATGGTCTCAACTGGTGCACTCTTGACCTTACGTGTTTCTTCACCACATGTTGTACAACCTCAACACCTCAATGATGATTCCTGATCTTGTGAACCTGACAGGCTGCAACTGCAACAAAGCCAAACGAATGACGCATCTATTATATGTAGCCAGAAAGCGTGATTCTCCCCGGGCGGCCTCAATGTTTGGGAGGGATCCACCTGAATAAAGCCCGAAGAACCAGCAGCACCACCCTTATTAGCAACCATCAGTGAAACACTTTAACAACTGAAATGACCTATACCAGTGCCCCTGGTTTCCGGGATGGTGAATGGATACCCTGAATTCACCGGTAACAAGAAGCTATCAGTTCGACACCCTGAAACCTGGGGGCCCTGGTATATACTGCTTCATGTTTCGTGTTGTTCAGATCATTCATATTCCGTCCATCGCCTCACACCGGTGAAAAAAGAAACGCAGGTCGTCCGCTGCTCCATGGGCGCCGCGGTGCGCGGAGCGGTGCACGTCCGGGAGGTGCCGGCGGGTCTCGGTGGGTTCGACGGCGACGACACGCAGACGACACAGGACGACGGCCCCTGGGAGCGAATTTTGGAGCGTGTCGGTTTGGAGGAAAAGATGCCCTAAAACGGAGATGCCACAAGAAACACGGTTGGTCAAACGGAGATGCATGGTGTTTGGTTTTAGTCAAACTGAAACATCCTGAAACCACTGGTGACCTACAAGCTAGTGGTAGTTGGATGGGATGACTAAGATGGCCATCCCATCATGCGTCTCTTTTTCGGGACAAGACCTCACGAGATACTGGAGCTGAAGTCCACTTTGTTGGATGCTAAGGTACCAACGCTTCAATGGGACTCCAATTATTAGACAACTTCAAGCCAGGGTGAAGTGCTGATCTACACTACACCCATGTTCTGTGTCAAACCCAATCCTTTATAAGCTGCACAGTGAACACCCCTTGCCTCACACCGGTGCCCTCGCTCCCCTCGGTGCCGCAGCCCGACCACGGAGCTCGCAGGTGGCGCAGCCGGAGCTCGCCTCGTTGCTGGCGGAGCACCGGGTCTTTGTCACTGAGCTCAGGGACCGAGGGACTGGGGCGCGGAAGGGTGTGGATGGGGGAAGGGTGTGTGGAGGGTGTGGTTGAAGTGGTGCTGCTTGTGCTTGGTATTAGGGTTGCAAGTGGATAGTTCTTTGTTCATCTTTGCTCTAAAATTTGGAGAGAAGAGAATGGTGAGGAAGATTGTAACCTAGGAAAGTGTTGTTTTTCGTTATACAATCGGTTTAAAGAAGAGTTTGGTTGTCTCTTCACAAATTCATGTAGAAACTAGGTGATCCACTCAAAACAATCCTAAGAGGCCATACTCATCCCATGTATCAAATCAATCACAAAAGTCGACAGCGACGAAACTGGTGTTGGTGAGACGATCAACATCACACCTCCCAAAGAAAATGAGTGAACAACATCAACCAAGACCTTCAAAGAGACCTCTTTGGAGTCTCTAAGCGACCCTTTACAGGCCTAAGTGACCTCATCCTGGGATCTCAAAAGGTCACTTTGAAGGTCCTGGAACAAACCTCTTCACGCGTAGGGTGACCTGTGAGCTCTATCATTGAAGTCAATGCAGGCCATCGGCCTCCCATGGTAAAGTCCCTGAAAAACATATATGTTTACCCGACCTTCGGTTCCTGTGTCCGCATTGAGATTCCATAGTTTCAACACATGATTTTTGTTCATGGATGTTAACACAAATCAATGCCTGATCATCGGAGTCCCATGGTGAAGTACCAGAAAAAACATATTTTTGCCTTACCTGTGGATCCTGCGTCCACATGGTGATTCCACAGTTTCAACGCAAGATTTTGAAATATATCATTGTTTTTTGGACACCGGCGTCCCAATGTAAAACACAGGGTTCTGCACTGACTTCTTTGACTTCCTGAATGCGTAGCGTCCCATGCGGTTTGGCCATGCCCACGGCCGATGCATTGACTTTCATCTTTGGGTGTATCAAGAGGTCAATGGAGTCAACAATCGTCGATGTACCTCTCAACGATCCCAGCATTTTCCTTCATCCCGGTGGATCTCTGCTGCCCCGCCCATATGGCCCACCTGATGGGGCATCCACTGCGCACCACCTTGGACCGCGTCTTCATAGCCACTGCCAGGAGGACGCGCTGCCCTCTTGGAGCTTGGGGGAACATTTGACCGGTCAAGATGCCTTCGTGTCGCTTGGCCGTCGTTGGAAGTGGCTGGAAAAGGGATGAGGCTGCTGAAGTCAATGGGAGGTCGAGGTCGCGGGGGTCGATGTGAATATATGGTTTGTGCTCTGGGAGCAGAGACGGTGGGGCGTGTTTTTGTGTGGGAAGAATCTCTGTATGTATATCACATAGAAACCAAGTAAATCACTCTCACTTCAAGCCTCAATTTTTATGTAGAATTGTGTTGGAACTTGGAACATCTTGATTGCCACAGTATTTGCCACCCTAAAACATGGTTTAAACCAAAACCTCTCCCAGACTCCTTCCCAAGGGTTTTCGACTTTCCCGACCACGTCGCCCCGGGATCGTCTCTCCGCGTCGTCCCCGAGGTTCGGCAACGAGGCCCGGGGCGTGAGCCCAGAGGTCGCCCAGCTGGCGCAGCGGACGCTCGGAGTGAGCACCGGGCCGGTTCGCCTTGTAGGACGTCCCCAGGGCCTGTGACTCTCTTTTTTAGAGTGATAAATATGTGATTGCAACTTGGCTATACTTGACTTACTACTTGTTAATATTAGTTGGATTGTGAGTCTTTTTGACCGGTATATTCAAGCTTGGGAGTGCCTGGAAGCAGCGAGTAGCAATTACAACAGATACAAAACATGATGTTTGCGACTTGAGAACTTCTAGGTGTTTGCAGGAAGTTTACAGTATATATAGTTTATCCAATTGTTTCTTTGACCGTTAGCACATGTTAAAACATGTTAACACACCCAGCGCAATACAACACGTGTTGTGTTAACACCCCCCCCCCGCATGTTTGCAGTTCCTCAGCTCCATCGCCCCTCCTCCTCACCAAACCCAGGCGTTTGTGCATCCCCATGTCGCCCAGCGTGGATTCCCTCAACGTGGGCATCTCCGTGGGCATCGTCCTCCACGAGGCCGCACGGCCAAACGCTCACAGCGTCAGCGCTGCATCGGATGGTTCGGCCGGAAAAAACAGGCGAGCGCTCGCTGCTTGGTGAAGGCCTGTGCTGGGTATAGGTGACGTGTATGGGTGTTGGTACTTAGTGTGTGAGTGAACAACAAGAATGTACAAATCAAGAAACTGTTGGGTATGTATGAGGTATCCCTTTGTTTGGCAAGAGTTGATCAGTGTTTGGGAAACCCTGGATCAAAATGATCATAAAAGGAGGCCGAGAACTTTTCGGGTAAATGTCTACTGAAGACTAGGAGCACCTCGACACCATAAGCCTTGAACCCATCAAATCATTGTTTCCCTCTGGTGTTCACCTCGACTATTGATCTTATTTCAGACATTTTCAGACCATATTCCACGCTGATGTAGCTGATGTAGCTTCATGAGCTCGAACGGTGGCCGTCCCAGCTGACCGGTGGCTCAAAGCACGGTAATGATTTGCCCCCTCGATGCGGAGGGCAGATGGATATCGAGGACGCGGGGTGGGCCCTTCCGGCTGAAGACACCGCAATCTGAAGCAAACGCTGGTGGTGAGGTTGGGTAAACGAACCGTTGAACCGATGTGACATTGATGCAACCACTCTCTGGAATTGATGTGACATTTGATTTGTTTCTTTGGTTTCAGGTTTGATGTGTATGTTTCAATCCACATGGACGTTTGAGAGCTAGAATACGGTGAGCACATTTGCAATCTTGACCTTTATCTAGAGGCAAATGGTGGCTGTTCTAATCCCTTCTCCGTCCAGTTGTGTGGCTGCTCGTTGCAATGTTGCGATTCATGTCGCAACTCTCATTTGGGAGCTCAAATTTGAATTGAACATGTAAGCCTCAAGGAAGAACCCTGCCCTTTTACACATTCCTAGAAAAGCAATCAATATCTTGGAAAATCAGCCTTTAGCAGTAGCAAAGAACTCCACAATATGTGTAATCCAAAACTCCTTCCAAAAAGATCCCTGCAACTCATTCCAATTCATACCAACCCGTTGCAAATTCATATGTAATGCCCCATGTAGCAAAGATATGGCATTCCATCCCCCTACATCTGAATATCCAATATAATACAGCAACGAAGCGTTCCATTCACATAAGTGGTGTACAGCCTTGGTTTTCATGCCCCCTCTCCTCGCCAGGCGGGGTTCTTCGGCCTTTTCGGCCTGGTTCGACCGGTTCGCAGGATCTCCACCTCGCTTGCCTCGCGGAGGTGCCCAAAGGCGGAGGTGCCCAATGGGTGGTTGGTGGTTTGGAGTGTTTTGGGTGTCGGGCGGTGGTGCTTGGTGGTTGGGAAACCAGGAAGGTTCCGGTGGTGTTTCGCTGTTCTCACCGAAAAGGTGGTGGTTGGAAGATGTTGGAAGCCCATTTTTGTTTGGAGAAGCTTAGTGGGAAATTTGGAGACACCTTATATTTTTTGGGGAAGTACATTATCAAATGGCTTTTGGAGGAACAAATAAGATAAGATGACGCCGAAGAAACCCAAATAGCACCTTTATTTTTGGGATGACCTTGAGGATGTTGAAGATCCATCTGGTATTTTGTTGGTGGGATGTCTTTGGCTATGTCATTTCTATTGATCCCAATGTTTTTGTGGATGCCTGCGGATATATACCTCACCTTTCGTATTTTTCCGGTGGAAGATTGGATCGAGCCTCCGCTTGAAGACAGGTCCTTGCCAGCTAGACCCTGATGAAGAGGAGGTGCAAGCAAAGGCACCTAATGGGCGTTGGCATCTTTGCTGACATCAGGGCGGATGTGCAAACTATGTTGAACTTTTGTGAATCATCGTGGAACAGTTTTGGCAAGGCACATGCACTAGAGGCACAATAGCTGTAGCGGTAGCTGCATATCTATGAATTATCACGCTGAATTATCGCTAAAGTCCCATTCCCTCATGGCCTCGAGCCCATGTTTCTGCAGCTTGTGGAGATCGGACGAGACCGCTTGAGTCACTTAAGTGAACTGGTACTCCACATCCACTCCAAATATATATATATATATATATACATCCACCATACGCACAATGTTGCATGAAACCATATGAAAATAGATGAAATCATCCATATCTGTGTAGTTATTTGCTTTCTCGCTTGTATCAGCTCTGTCTTTTCCTACATCCATCCCCACGCTTGTCTTTGCGTCGGAACCCGCCTATCCCGTTTCCCGCCTCTGCCGTCGAATCCGAGGCGCTTATTTTCGAAGGTCACCGAGATGGATCGCATCAAGGCGGAAGCGCGGACGCCCTCGATCCTCTCCTGTTCTCGCCGCACCGATGTGTCGCTTGGGTTCGCTCCATTGTGCAGGGCGTATAGATGCGGCGGGCAGGTGTGGGAGCTCTGGGAGGTGAGGGCCATGGAGGGTGTGGAGTTGGAGGAAAACGAAGGTTTGGCAGGGAGGAGGGCCAGGAGCGGAGGGTATGGAAAGAGCTGCCAACCAGGGATATTCAGTTGCAAGTGCTTTTGTCAGATTTCAGGGAGAGTGAGAGTGAGACAGGGTGTGTTTGTTGTGTGTGTGTCATTTATTCATAGATTATGACCCCAATGTAGGCAACTGTTCCGTACATAGATGGGCTCCAGGTGTTGTTCAGAAAACACGGCATGACCTGGTCAAACACAGCCGAGGCCATGGGCCTTTTTGCGGCAGTACTTGAAGGCCTTTCGAGAAGGATTCCTCTACGTGCGCAGCCCTGCCACTCGGATGGGATGTGGAGTGGGAATGTGGAGATGGATGGAGAGGGGAAAACGAGATGGATGTGGACGGAGTATCTGACGTGGATTGTTTGTGTAGGCTGGATTGGATCCATTGGAAGGGAATATATTAAGTTCAAAAGATATCAACAGATTGTGGCTTGCGGTGTTATTTCCAGATTTCCAAGCAGGTACACTCCGACTCAGGTTCCATGGAAGTGGAGTTCACCTCCAGTTCGTATGCCATCCACTTCCATTTATTGGTCGAAGTGTACACACATTCCACAGATGATTTACTCGGAAAATTGTGGCTCAAGTAGACTCACCTGCAAAATCTGCAACGACCTTTTGCAGTAGACAACCACTCCCATAAGATTTTTCTCGTTCGAGTTTTGAAGTCCTGAATGGCTGGGGTGTTTTTGTCCCTGGTGTGTCCCAGTATGTCTTAGTAACAGATCCGCATAAAAACTCTATGTGTTTCTTTGGGAAAGGCCCGCAACCCAACAATGACCCCACAACAGCAACAACCAATAAAAGGGCGTTCCTCCAGGTATTCTTCAACAGTTTTCCTTTCAAAAGGGCCTCCATGACTCCATGACATGCTTTGCTGCTGCGAAAGCTCTTCGAGGTGACCGGCGACATGGACCCCGTGTGTTTGAAGCCCTACGATGCCAGCACGGGGCGTGGTGTGATGTGCATCAGCTGGTGGTCCAAGAACTACTGCAAGTGGATCGAAGAGTTCAAAAAGCAGGACCGGTGCGACACCCCTCGCGCGGGTGGGTGGCTGAAACCCTTTCCGCGGTTTCCGCCAGCTGCAGCTGCACGCACTGCGGGAAGGCAGGTGGATGCACTGAAACCGTTTTGGGTCCCCGTAGATGCGGATTCGGCCTATGGCCGGCCTTCCAACTACCTCCTGATATAGTTGAGGTGGGTGCCAGAGGGGTTTTACTCTGACCTTCTGAGGATCTGGTTGGAGCCCGGCCTTGAAGACCTGTCGCCCCCAACGGATGAACCGTCGCATCCCGTCGGCCCTGCCCGAAACGGTGCCGAACGGCGGAACGGCCGATCGCTTCAACTCCGAACTCTCGGAACCTTAAAAGGAGCGCTTTTTTCTTCTTTAAGGTCTTCATTCGGTCTGAAAATGAAGCTACATTGATTGGAGAGTTCCTAGGTTTAGGTCTGATGTTCACCTTGCTGGTTCTTCTTTAAGGTCTTCATTCTTCACGTTCGGTGATGGTGGTTTCGGATATGGTTCGCATGATGGTTCGCTATGTTCAACCCGTATACTTTCCTCCGGGATGGATGAAGAAGGGCCCTCTCTGACTCATATTTGTCAAGTGGGCTGAACACACCAACCAGTTCAATATTCTTCATATAGATTCTTCCAGTCGCTTTGCAGGTTTATAAGCATGCAAAAGCGTTACTGTAACCTGCAAGTACCGGTGATGGAAGAGTGGCTTCAAACATCTTAATGTTGCACAGATGCAAGCTGTGATTTGTGGCCATTGACCAAACATGCTGTTAGCCTCACCCCATCTCACCCCATCCCCACCTCCTACGCGTAAGTGATCTCAAATCCGATGCGTAAGTGATCCTTCACTTCAAGTGCTCTCCTTGATCGCAAGTGACCCATTTTGCGCTGCGCAAGTGATCCCTTTGCCTGTTCCATGCATGTTGAAGACAGGGTCAAGATATCTTTTGCAAATGGATCATTGGAGATCCAGCCACCCTTCTTAATCATGAAGCATTGGGTGAGTAATGTATTGAATGGGTTTCGCTAGATAGAAATAGCATTGCACATTCCAAAACTAGGACCATTGCTTCATTGGGTTTCACATGTTTCATGCACTAGCTAGGACGGTTCAGGTATTGATCTTATGTAGGTTTTTGCATGTGTGTTGCTTTAATTTGGTGACTGGTATTAGGTGTTTCCTAGTGTAATGCACCTCTTGGAGGACAGCATTCTGCACAGCTATCCGGTGCATATGTTCAATTTCACCGTGCCTCAATCGCAGTGGGCGCAGCAGCTGCCGGGGTAGCTACAGTGGCCATAGGTGGCCCTGTTTGCTTATATATATAGTTGTGTGGTGGTTGGGTGATTTGGGCAGCGTTGGTTATATAGTTTGGTTCGGCGCATCGGTTGTTTGCTCAGAATCAAACAGTTGGGTCAAGAGATGTGCGGAGGTCCCTCACAACGCAAAAAAATGATGTGACAAAGCGACATATTTGTAGGCAGAAGGCACAACAAATAATTATGTGTCAGTTGTTCAGTCCTGATCGTCGTCAACCGCTTTCTTAAAATATGTTTAAGGAACCCCAATTCAATTCTCTCATCGCCTTGATCCAATTGCTTTGGATTGAGGTGAACTCGGATGACAAAGTCTTGGAGCCGGGAGTGTTCCCGCCACTGCAGGAGCGCTTAGGACGCTTGGCTTGGCGGCCAACGGGATCGTTGGGATCTGACAGGCTCTTTGGATGATCCAAGTGCTGATCTCTGCGTTGATCCAACAGCCAAATACATCAAATACACTCCCAGGAACTAACATGGAAGTGGATGTCATGGCCCCTTGGAAGACCATGAAATCCACTACAAACAGGTGGTTTTCCACTTCCATGTTTGTTTTCGGGAGTGTACGCGTATCACATAGTACTGGAATCGAGTGTATTCCACCTACCATGCCGAAACACGCCGACCATCACCGACCCATCGGTGTTCTGCACAAACTGGGAAACATTGAAAAGACAATAGATAGATAGACAGAAACAAACGCCCTTAAGAGGCTGTGTTTGCGCTCCAGGTTTCTCATTCAAAACAAATGTATGATGTGGTGCACTGTGTTTTTTCCCCACAATCCACTCTCAAAGCAGGCCATGCATACAACGCATATAGAAACCACCTGCCATTCCACCATACCACCACCGTGCTCTCCGCTTCACCGCACCGCCCGCACCGGGGCCGTGCCGCACCGCACCGCCGGATGCCCCGCTCTCGTTCGGCTTAGGACAGGTGACCTGGCTGGCGTCCACCTTCGGCGCCCACGCGTTGAACGTGCGCTTCGATCCCATCGTCCACTACCGGATGAAGGGCCAGGCGGGACCAAGGAGTGAGTGGGACGGGAAGAGGGGAGAGGAGGAAGGCGAAACGACATCGGTGGTTGTAAATATGTTGTAAATAGGGTGTTGAGGCTGTGTGTGTGCTATTTTGGGGTGGTGGATGAGATGAACTGAAGTTCATCTATTATTGTAGTTCAAGCAAAATGTTGGGATTTGGATGGGTTTGGAAGTATAGATGGATTTAGTTGTTGTTGGTTTTAAGATGCTTTATTTTGGCATGTTTTGAAGCTTGAAATGAAGGGCCCGAAGGGGGTGATGACATGCAACTACTGTGCCAAGTTCCCAATCAAAACTAACCTTTTGAGCCTTTTGGAGAACCCTCATTGTAGAGGATTGCTAGTGGCAATGCCAAATGTAAAGGTTTACACTAAAACACCATGCAAAGTGTATAGTGGGACGCTACTCTCTCTCCTCCCACGCGTGTAACACGGGGTGCCCCCCCCCCAACGGTGTGACACGGGGTGCCTCCCCCGCAGCACCGACCGTATCGACGGCCGAGACGGCGGTGCGCAATAACCTGGGCGACTTCGAAGAGATCGTGAAGCATTTGGGCCTCCTAGGACTGGGAGCTCAGTGGGAGAGCACGGTGTGCGGCTGCGAGCGGCGCACGTTGCGGCGCGCCCTTGGAGCGAGCGGTGTGCGCGAGCGGTTTTCGCAAGCGGCTGCGCACACGGACGTCGGAGCGGTGCGTGCGCACGGTGTGTAGTAGGCTCCATGTCGAGGGAGAACGACCCCCGTGAACCGGCCTTCCTGGGTTTTTGAAGGAAACTAGATGGATCTTAATATCCATTGGGTTGTGGCCAGGGTGTCTCCCTATTCAAGAGGTGACAAGCTCTTTCGGTGACAAGCAGGTCAGTTGAATTGCAAAGTAGCACTGAGAATTAGACTGAGAAAGAGGATTGAAAGCAGAGACAACTGGACTCGATCTCTCAAAAACCAGCTTGAGATGGACTGACTGATGACTAATTAATTTGCTGAAGGGTTTTGGAGTTTGATGACGTGTTGCTTGTTTCACTGGGTCACTGGATTGTTTCTTAACTCGCCCTGCACGAAACGAACGGTGTTTCCCTCGCAGGGTCTCATCATACCGGTTGCAGTTGCATGGCTGGCCAGCGACGAGGCATCCACCATGTGACCTTCAGCTTCTGCAAGCCTTACAAGCAATCGGCACCTGGACTGGACTGAGTAACTGAGTATGCGTTCTTTGCAAGTCAGTTTGCCTTGCACGAGCGGGGAAGACACTTATATAGAGCTTAGCTAGTAGCTTAGCTATGCTTATAGCTTATATGGTCTCCTCGTTTGCCCTGCGTGAAATGCTTTGTGTGCTCTTTGACCATTGGCAGCTGATGCCTAAAGTTCTGCCTCAAGTCCATATTGGCACCCCAAGTTCGAAGAAACCAAACAACATGTCCTGTCGTTTTGGTACTGTATCCTGTTGGTATCATTCACTCGGCCGAGTCTCTTAAGAATACGCGTCTCCAGGCCGTTTGCGTCTCGGCCGAGGTCCGAAACATGCTCTCCGCTGGCGTGGAATTGGTGGCCCTCTCCGAGGAGCAGCAACGAGCAGTGCTGCCTGGATCCAGAAGGAGAGCGGGGTGTTTTCGTGTTCGTACCAAGAAGTTCAGGGGGGAGATGCTGCTTCTCTGAACAGGGAAGCTGTAGGGGTGTTTAAGATCCTAGAAGGATCCCAGCACATGTGCTATAGTGAACCATTTGGCCATTTTATTTAGCCAAACTATGGCTACATGGCTATTCGCTCTTCCCAACACCCTCCAGTCCCAATGCCCTGTCCCAAGAGACCATCCACACCGCCGAAGACGACCCGCCGCCCCAGGTTGGATCAGCTGCTGCCCTTGGCGCACCGCTACGCCGTGGAGATGCGCTGCTGCTGCGACGACACGCTCTTCGGCCACCGGACGCCGGTGGAAGCCAAGGCGGACCCGACCGCGGAGAGCCGGTGGGTCCGGGTTTGGGTCGGTGGAGGTGGAGAGCCGCGTGGGACTCCAGTTGAGCGCCGCAAGAAACCTCCCAAGATGAGCTAAGTAAAGGCCTTGTCATATGGAACTTGGGCGTAAGCAAAAACCTGAAAAGCGTAAGGTTGCGTAAGGGAGTTGTGAGACATGCATGTTGCGTAAGCTTGCCATATGGTTGTGTTTTCATTAGTAGGTTCTTAGCACACACCTCGTCAAGAAAGGAATTGCATGGACTATGAGAGCTTTGAAACCCTTGGGAACAGACATTTGTGTGCACAGTGTTTTAGGTAAGTGGCAAAGGAAGAACTTTCCCCACCATTCTTGGTTCAGAATTGGGAAGTTCAGCTGTGAGTTTGTTGTGGCCCAAGCAGTCAAAGACTCAAAGAGATCTAGCAGCTAGCATGCCTGCGCCAAGTGGACTACCTAAGCGGTGTCATGTTACCACCTGCAGTGGAACAATGTGTGCTCCAGCAAAGCATGCAAAGCACGGCTTGTGGATTAGCAGCTGTGAATCTTGTTTTTGTCCAAGTACCTATTTTGCTTTGATCATTTCTTGCAATGCCTTGAGTTCAGATAGCTCTTGGTTGTCTCCTTTAGAGGCCTAAGTGACCATGATTGCATCCAGGATGGTTACTTTGTGAATGGCAGGCAGCGTAGCAGTCACCATTGTGCCGTGTATGATGGCTACAAGTGGGTCAACACGACACAGGTCCAGAAGTTTGTCAAGGCCCTTTCAAAGGACCAGCTAGCTCTTGCGTCGAAGGTTGGAGTTGGAAGATCTGTGTTCAACCGAGCATGTTTCAATGAAACTACCATAGGCAAACTGTACCACAGGAGTTTGTAGGCTTGCTCTCCTGAAAGGTGGGCGACGATGAAGGAAAACCTGTCGAGACAGATGGTGAAGCTAAAGGTGTGGGTATGGACATTCCAGAGAACAAGCTCTTGGCAGAACTGGCCCCTCCAGCTCTGGAGGTTGAGGAAGTTGAGGATAGCACTTTGGCCGCTTTGACTGCTCCAGAGGGACTTTTGAAGACCGATGGCAGCGACCTGGCTACTACAGAACATTTTTATTTGTAGGTTATATAGGGGTCGGCTTTTGGCTATTTGTAGGGCCTTTGGTGTTGCTAGCTGCTCTCTTGCAATTTTCCTAGCTACTTGGTGTTGCTTGGCCCTGGTAGGTGGAGACACGAACCAGAGATCAGTCACAGAGAGGCCTTTGAGCATCAGCGAAGCTGCCGTGCCGGACATCGCAAAGACAGTGGAAACCCAGAAGGTTGCCAATGGTAAGCCCTCGTGCTCAGATGCCTCAAGACCTTTGACAGCTCATGCCATTGCTAGCCCTAAAGTTGATGCCCCGGCCACTCCGGCCAAGAAGCCAGAGAACAAGGGCACGGACAAGTCAGGCAAGAAAAAGAAAAGACCTTTGCACGAAGGAATGTCGGGGACGCAACGCCGTGCGCTTGAGTGCGTTGAGTGCAGCTGCCAGAAGTGCTTTGCCACCGAATGTTGGCGGCAGGCCATCCAAAGTATCTGACAAGAGCCTGCAAGAACTTGTCCGCAAAACTCTGGAAGCATATCTCAAAGATAGTGAGCGCGTGCTTGTGGTCGGCCGCGGAATGAACAAGAAGATGGTATTGGCGCAGCACTTGACCAAGAAACGCAACGCAATCTACAATGTTGAAAGCGCATTGTCTTCAGCCATGAGCAGAGAGACATTCAGGAAGGTGATGAAGATCCACTTTCCTCATGTAAAGAACCCCCGCCGCCTGACCGACATATGCGCCTCATGCCGTGATCAAGGAATTATTTTGTTTTGTTTCCTGGTGCCCCCTTACTTTGTCACAATGTCCCTACAGTGAGACATGATAGGTGAGCACTGCCGACATCTAGAACGTAGCCTCATGCCTGCAGCCCTCCGATGTATGACAAAGGTTCGATCTGATATAGTGGCCTTGTGGCCGTCTTACTTTGACACTTTCGACCACGCCTCTCAAAGCAAAGAACTCACCCAGCAATCTGACCAATTCCCTCTTTTGTGCGCGTTTGCCGCCTACTTGGAGCAAGAGAACTTCAACATTGACAGCAATGCCGACCGCATGGCGCTGAATCTCAGGACTCGCATGGCCCTCCATCAGACTGAAGCCCACGCCATTAAGCAGCTGAAATCTCACCTAGAACTTCTTGAAGCCTACCGCTGGCACCAGATTTCAGCCAGACGCCAAGATCAGGTGCTGACGACATTGAGAAGTGGCGGCCTTGCATCTGACGCGCTCCTGGTTCAGGTGGACTTTAAAGAGAACGTCCGCTATCCCTTGAGCCATTGAGTTTGCGAGTAAAACCTTTTTCTTGTTTAGTTCGCCTCTAGTGGGCTGTGCTTTTGCTGCAAGCTCCCTGTGTAAACGCATCCAAGGTCGCGAAGAGAGTTCGGAAGAATGGCATGCCCAAAACAAGCTGTCGTTGACAGTCTTCGGCGCCAGTGTCATTGCTCCTGCTGCAGGGGGCGGCCATGTAGAGATCTACGTCCTTCTCACCTCGGAAAGCATCGACCATGACGCCCAATGTGGTAACATGATGGTCAACCAAGTTCTGGCGATGATACGACAGGAGAAGCGAGTCGATTGGGCAGCTGTTCGCTCCATGTGGCTGGTCTCAGACTGTGGTCCTCACTTTCGTTCTTATGAGAACGTTGCCCACTTCTGCCACACCTTGGTGACAAAGTTGCAGCTCAAAGTTCATGTACTGTACCTGGGTGAGCAGCACGGAAAGGGCTCCTGTGACAGGCTGTTTGGCTGGACCAACTCCTGGTTACAGCAGCATTTGCAAGAGGGGCCTGTCCATGGCATTGCTGATTTGGTTGCTGCCTACAAGAAAGGGGGCGCTGCGATGATGAAAACAGACCCAGACGGTCCCCTGTTCTTGGTTGCAGTTTTTGATCCTGGCAAGTTCCGCCCTACCAGACGAAAGTCTTTCAGCTGCAAAAACTTCAAGATTACAAGGACCTACAGCTTGACTGCAGAGATCAGCCGACATGCAACCAGTGGTGTGACTGTTAGAAACAATGTCTTTTCAGACCTCGCAACAAAGCAATCTCTCGACACATGGAGCATCGAGGAGACTGTGGCCGATGAGCCAGAGGAGTGGAGAAGAGGCTACTACGACAAACCTCGTTCCTGGGAGACTGTCGGCCCACAAGCTGGTGACATTACTGAACTCACTCGCAAACATGCAGCGCAGAAATCCTTCGCGAGCAAGTCAATGCCAAACCCCAAAAGGTCCATCGAGGACAAGCTTTCAGCAAAAGCTCGTGCACTCAGCAAAAAAGCGGCAAAGAGAAGGCGACAAACCACCGCACTGAATCGTCGAGATTCTGCTGGACAAACTGAAGGTTGCACCTCTTCATCTTCATCGTCTTCATCATCTGCTTCCTCTGCTTCGGAGTCTTAGTGATCATGTGTTTGTCGCCCGCTCACCTGCAAAAAGGAGTTTTCGCGTAAGCATTTCCCTTGGGAATATGGTTCTCATCTATGAAAATGCAGAAGCGTAAGATCTGCGTAAGGTCTTCTTCAACATCCGTGGCGCGTAAGCTCACATTGTGGTCGCGTAAGAAAAGCGTAAGCAGGAGCGTAAGAAAGTTATGCGACATAGGGGTTTAATCATACGTTTTTTGCAGAGCTCAGTTGAGTGGCAGGGATGGCAGAGGGTTTAGATGCACAGTTGTTTTTCAAAGATGAGCCAATAATAGCCTGTTTTTAAAGATGAGCCGCTTCATGCATGGTGTCGTTTGAGCTAGGCTTAGAGTTATGAAGAGTAGGTAGATCATCAATCCACATTGAGTTTGCTAGACTGGCTAGACCTCTTCCCCAAGAAGGACTTGAATCTACCATGGATGTGTCAGGGTGTATTCCAAGATCCATGTTTGTCACGATGTGACATGGTGCTTTTCAGGGAGCCACTTTTTGGGGGGATAGAAAGAAATGAGATCCTCATGGGCCACTGATCTTGATGATGTTAGACTTCGATGTCTTTCATAGCTGCTAATGTATAACAATGCGATATATAGTGAATGTTTAGGAATTGTTCACTTCTAACAAACATACACAGTACAATGATAACAAAGCATATATGCTACCATGTAGAACAAATAATCCTATCCATTCTAACCCAACAATTGGGTCCAACAAGAAAACCACAAGGAATAAGTAGAAAGATCCTTCGAGCGGATTTTTCTGTTCTTCGTTGGTGAAGTGATCACCCACAAGCCCGGACCAGGTCGAGGTTCGCAAGGTTCGCCGCTGGGGCGTTGGCAAGGACCGTTCGCCTCGCCGGATGGGTGTTCGCCGCCGGGAGATGGGTGAACTTAGGTGATCCATGTTGCCTACCAGGACCCCCAGGAGTTGGGTGGTGAATGGACACCCCTAACTTAACTGCTGCTGTTTGGGGCTATAAATAGACACCTTCTTCCCAGAATGGTCCCTGGAAGGAATGTGGTTTGCTAGGTGAAGGATTTCAGGATCGGAATGCTGCAGTGTGCAGTGGAAAGTGCAACACAGTGTATTGGACTCTGTCTAGGAGTTGTGTGCAAAGTTAACGCAGGCAAGCAATCGTACGAAAGAAGGCAAGGAAGCAAAGCCATGAACAACTTCTGTAGTCAATTTAGCTCCGCTTGTATGGCTTTCCTGAAAGCCGCTTTGGTTGAAATAGAAATAGCAAGTCGTTGGATTATATCTACCTTGGCCAAGACGTCGCAGACCAACTTTGGACCGGTGTGATATATTGTTCTTCCTCGTTGATTCATGTTCATTCGAGGAGGATTGAAGGATGTTCACTGATAACCTAAAAGAAGAACATGTCCATGCCATCCTCATTTTGCAAGATCTGCAGGACAAGGAGCACAAGATTTTATCCAAAGATGCTGATTCTTGATGAAAGTGTGATGCAAGTGGGTGGAGGTCTTTGAAGATAGCTCAAATGTGTGGTGAAAGGTGAAAGTCTTGTTGTGTTTTGCCTCCAATATGCCAATAGCTGACTTGCAATGGTCACAAAAGACAAAAGCAGCTTGTTGTTGATCCGGAAGTGCCCATGCAAAGAGAAAAGATTGGGTTGCAAGAACTGTCGAAACCTTCTAAAACTGGATCACTAAGACTGAGATCCAGCGCTCTGCCATGAGCTCCTTAAGTGCGAACAAGGAGCCCTTCATGGAGGCAAACTGCCACAGCCACAGCTGGCTGATATAGAGGATTTATTGTTCTACCACTACAGGAAGGTGTTTCTCAATGTCTGAGTGTTCCTTCTCAAGGACTACAGCTAATCACCTGTAACAAGGGGATGGGGCCTTTTCAATGGTCTAAAAAAGAACAACAGTGATCATTGTACGTTTGCCCATGTGCTGTGTGTCTACGCCGCAGATCGGGTCTTGATGGAACAATCGCGGGAACCTACCTTTCCTCCGGTTCCCCCCAGATCTGAATTTAAAAGTGCCAAGTAGTGCGTGTCCCATCTTCCGGTTCTCCCGAAAAAGCACATGTATATGGTCCACATATGTCAAGGTCCACATGGTGCGAAGTAAAGAAGTACCGTGTCCCATCGATGTTGCAGATCGGACGTCCGTCGCGTCGCGGAATCCGTCGATGGATCTCTGAGGACTTCTTGTGTGTGAAAGAGTCTCGATGTCTGGACGCCCGCCTGGCCGACCGCCTGGCGAAGGTGGGTGGCGAAGTGGTTCGGGGCTGTGAGCAAAAGCGACAAAGCCCGTCTTTGGATAAGAAGACAGATGGAATCCAGAATAACTAAGAACTAAATATAGTGAACCATAATCTTTTGGAAAAGGTGCCAAGGGTGTGGAGTTTCTGAGCTCTCTAGCTTGCTGTCTTCAGCCCAACCACCTTTGCCGTCCAGGAGAAGGGCCTTTCAATCACCTTTCCACATCAGAAGGATCGAGGGCAGCGAGAGATGTGCAACTGCACGGCCTCCAGGGAGATTGGACAATATGAGCTGCTTGGTAATCAGAGGCCTTGGGGGTGGCCATGGGGCTCAACTTGGAGCCCATGGCGTGCAGAGAAAGCAATAAACACCATGAAGTACGTACTTACCAGGACCTTCCCAGTGACCGTCCTTGACATCCCGGGACCTCGCTGCACTCTTGCAAAGGCCACGTGTTTTTGCCACATTCCTGAAGTCACTTACCTCGAAGCCCCAGTCCCCCAGAACTTCCGTCCAATGACTCCAGTTTTGAGATCCCCAGTCTGGGACCACTACCAGGCCAGGGGGTGAGTCATGAGTCATTCTCCTGGGCTCTCAGAGTATGATACCGATGTTCGATGTGGCGAATTCATTCGATCTCCTCGAAGCGATGGAAAAACCGTGAAAGTGGACCGTGAAAGCTTTCTCTTCCGAAACCTGGAAGAAGAAGTCGCTCCCGGATTCCTAGATGGTCCCTTTTCGCCGGAGAACCTCCGGAATGTCACTTCATTGAACCTGCCCCTTCTCCAAGCCCGGTGGCTTCCCAGCGAACATCTTCACCGGTGACCGTTTTTTTTTTCACGTGATCGTTGTGTTTCGTGATGTCCTGAGGCTCCAATGTCCACACAGCTGTTTATATTGCTATGCCAACCCCAAGCCGGTGGATGCGCTCGAAGTGAACAGCGCCAAGAGCCATTCACAAGCTGGGTGTTGATCATCAACTCAACAGTTGATGGGATGAGGCGGTTATGGTGGACAAGATCTAGGTTGCACTGGTGATGTGTTCTGTACATCCTTTTAGAGAGTGTACTAAGGTATGCAGCCTGTACAACCGTTTGTGTAGTTGGGATCTCTAGAAGGCCTTGGCGGCGAGTGCTTTTAGGATGTCAGTTCACATGTCCATTACAAAAAGTGACACTGTGAAGCTGATCAATAAATATGCAATTCATATGAGCATAGTTGAAATTGTTGACATCTAGTGCTTGTAGTGGCATTGTTTGCTTAAATGATGACCAGCTGGCAGAAATGTGAGCTTGAAGATAGACCTGTACCAGACACATGTTACTCTCACAATCTCTCATGATTTCTACATACTCGATAAGATTAGATGCGTGTTTCAGTGTTCTCGCGACTCGATGTTGGCATGGTCCCTCAACGTCCCCACTGGATGCATCCTTTGCCCCTGACATGGATTCGAAGAACCCCCGCGCCCAGCATCAAATCTTGCTGGCCAATGTGCCACTGCGGCAGTGCGACTGGGGTTTTCTTTCCTCGAAAGCGTGGATGATCATGTGATGGTCTTGAGTTTGGTCCTGAAGAAGTTTTTGCAAGGATTTGTCTACTCAATAGCCCAGAGACTAGCATGCGCATGTTGCAAGAACAGAGAGATAGAGAGAGAGAGAGAGAGATTCGGCAGCCCTTTGCTGGCGACTAAGACCAGGACATTGATAGCACACGCTTTCGGAAGTTTGCAGAATGGACCAGAGCCGTCTGCAACAATGTACAGCCAAAAGAATCACTTCAAACAATATATAACTCTTTAGTTATCATGACCTATCTAGAATCCAGAAGCTCACATACGTTCAACAATGCATGAACATAGATGTGACTTGGACGTCAAGTAAACCGTTCAATTGTTGTAAGTCAGATAGAAGAAATACATGGGCATGAAAGTCATGATTCTATGTGCAACCAGTCGAAAACATGCGTGGAGAACAATATTCAATATTCAAGAATTGAACTGATGTCAAGTCTAAACACATGAATAATGAAACTAGACATTACCAACGGATGATATCTCGAATAAAACCAATCATAGAATAGACTGTACATTGTACATTGTGCGTACACCTTGCAGTAATACATGGTTCTTATTTGGCGACACCATAGAACTTCAAACTTCAGCATCCTTTGGACGAATACACTAGCGTCCCGACGAGGTGATCCGGTCTCTTTTTTGGCTCGGAAGTCTTGTTTTCGCATAGCAGAGCGCAGGAGCTGATGTCAGACTTGGAGGCCGCATGTTCCGAAAGAAGTCAGTGACACCTTGGAGGTCTCCCGACCGCATGAATAGAAGTCCATGGCCCAGCTCTAGCTAAAGCATGCTGAAGAGCAGCCCCACAAGCTAGTCCAACGGCTTGTGTGTGCAACCAGTGCAGCAGCCCCAAGAATGGATGGAGCCTGCAGAAGGTTTTGTGAGTTTGGCAGTGTTGGATATATTCAAGTATGACCGAGTGCTTGCGCGATGTCGAGAAAAATCTACTGTATATGCTGAGCAGCCAATAGTGAGTTTATGTATCTTGTGACAAGGCCAATTGTATAATCTATTTTGTTTGGCTGAATTCAATCTCCCCATGCAGACGATGAACTAAGAAGCCAGAAGCCACGGCAACCGCCAGCAGGCCCCCCCCCCCCAAGCGGGGGAGCCCAACGGTTTTGTCACCCCCAGCAGCACGCCATGGCGGTGCCGTTGGCGCAGCGAGCTGCGCAGCTCGCGCCGAAGGAGAGAGCCATGCTGGAAGCAGTGGGGTGGCCCATGGAAACTCGGTGGAAGGAGAGAGCTCCGTTTGAGAGTACACTTCCAAAAGCTAACATAGACCCTGACAATGACCCCCTGGAAGATTGTTTTCCTCTACCAGCCAGTGGTTATCACAGGTTTCACTAAAGAATACATTTCCAAGGTTTAGAAAGTCACTTTTTTCATCATGTTCTCCTCAAGTGACTAGTACAGAGATTCAATAAATAATACATACAAATACACAATGTCACATTGCTCTGACATGTGAACAGGCGCAGGAGCACATTTCTTTTCAATCTTGTTTGTATCCGTCCGTTGTTCAGCAACGTCCAGTTCTTTGAAGTAAGAGCATCGACTGGAATGCTAGTCAAAGCCACAGCCTTTCTCTAACTTGGATCAACACAGCACAATCACACCGCCTGCATGCTGACACAAACGCATGGTGTTCATTCACAACAGAGTGCAGACCAGGCCAGGCTTCTTTGTCATTTTGAGCGGCGCACTTCAACAAGAGGGTCAAGAGCAGTGATGGTGTTTTATACGGACTTGCCCCACATGAGCTGGTGCTGCCAATGCGAAGCTAAACTCATATAGTGACAAGGCTACACCATCTCTATTTCAATGTTACAATGTCAACTGCTTCTATTCTATGGCAACACCTCACTCCCCCCGCAAGACCTATCAGATACACCCTAACACTGCATCAAAGCCCAGGCCAAAATGGGCTTTCATATATGCTTTTCATCACAGGTGCCGCAAGCACCACAAGAACACAAGCACCATGAGCACCACAAGAAGACAAACACCACTAGCAAAGCAGTGATGGGGCGTACTTGCGCCTTCTGCGGTGCGAATGTTGGTGGCAACAGCTTCAGACTGAAGCCTAAACAGTATCTTGGCTGCGTTTGTGTTCCTCTGCCCCATGCATTGGGGAGCTAGCAAATCAAGTTCGATATGCAAAAAGCAGCGCTAACCATTTTGCCTTAAATGGGGTTGTATTTTTTTTGCGTGTACGTGTTGATGTAATGGTTGGAAGTTCGACTTGAGCGATTCATTCCCCCGAATCATACCTCGAATCATACCAAATCATACCCGTCAAAAAGTTGGTGTAAGAACCAGGGTTTCAGGTGAAGCTTTGGCTGGTCTTTGTGGTTTGTAGATGTCCGTAATTTAATGGTGCAAAAAAGCATGGTGAGAACACGACTAAGTTATAACCTTTTTCTTGCAGAATTTAATGGCCATACCGAATCACACCCGATCCATGCCCGATTCATACCCGAATCACGCACCCTGCACACAGTTTCCCACCTGGCCCATCCCACATCCCCGATTGTTCCCACCACTGCAGTTAAAAGGGTCGTGCCTTTGGTGGGGTTTGCAGTCTTCGATAGTCTTTGGTAGAAGAGTTCCTTGCCTGGTCTGCCCAGCAACCAGCAGATACTGCTTGCCTACTGCCTCAGAGTGCAGATGTGGGCCCACTGCTGGAAGTCTAGCCAGTCCAACGGTACAATTTCAAAAGCTGCGAATCAGACCCTCGAATCATACCCCCGAATCATACCCCGAATCATGCCCTCGAATCATACTACCTATTCAAACTTCCCGGCCCGACTACGGAATAAAAATACACATTCAAATAAAGCAAAGGGTAGGCGCAAACATCATCAAACATCTTGACGTGGATCTATTGTTTTAGATTGACCACGCAGTCATCCAGACTTCGCTGAGGAAGAAGTTTCTCGAGGAAAGCGGTGTTCTGGAGTGGTTGGGGAAGGTGGAGAAGCCTCGGTTGTGCAGATCTTGCCTCTGGTGGAAGAGCAGGGGGTTCCAAGATTGTGTTTGAAGCTTCTGCGCTGTTTCCTGGCAGCACCGCCGGCGTCAGGTAGCATAGAATGATGCTCTTTCGGGTTTGTGAGCGCTTTCAGATTGTTGCCATTTTAGTTCAAGCGCAAGTGAGATCTTTGATGTATTAGAAAAATTGCAAGATTGTCATTCATCCAATGGCACGGTCCGAGCGATTACGACACATCTTTTCTTTGCATTGAAGTCCATGATGTGTTCCTGGCCCAAAAACTCAAGTGGCAAAACTCATGGCGCGCTCTTCTGACCTAAATGCTGCCCACTCGTTTCACGGGCCTCGTGAGCTCAGGCCCTCTACTACACCCTTGTCCACCTGTTTGGATCTACGGGGTTGGGCCACCCTGCGTTCCGTGGGGTGAGGACTGTGGCGCCTTGGGCCCATTTGGCATTGCCTCGATGGGACACGTGCCTGGGCCTGCATATATCAAATCCGAGACAATTGTGGTAAATTGAAGATTTCGCATGGACCCAGTAAGCTCACGGAATGTCAGAATTAAAAATTGAAACAATCCAAGAACATGTCGAAACGCATATTCGAGAGATCACTTTGGCAGCAGTGAAGATCTTTTCGAGTCAGTGATGTTTGAGATATTATCCTTGACATTGTCGAAATGAAACCTGCAGGCTGAGCTCAGGAATGTTTTCTTTGATTTCGTTGACTGATTCAGAAAACGGTTTCGCTTGATCGTGCACCGTCGTCTGAGATGTCTACATGACAGCCCCCTTCCATTTTTGGACAGGGCCTCCATGGCTGTCTATGCCCAGGTGCAGTCGTGCCTGGGCTTCCTCGTGAGGTACTTAGGAGGCTTGAAGTGATCATAGTCATTGTGGGGAGAGTCCAGATCAGCGTTGCTTTCATTGAAGAAATCAAATGAACACGTGCGAAGAAACTTTCAAACATGCAAATCTGATGTTAGTGGTCTTTACATCTCCCAATTCCCGGAAGGCCTTGCTGTGGTCGCTGACAACTTGGGTAACGGGTTGGGAAGGATAGGCTTTGGCATTGCAGAGAAGACATTTCCAGTATGCCCCAAAGACAAAGGTGTTCTCAACGTTTGAAAACACATAAAGGTTGCGCCAGTCTCCATGTAGCCACAAGGCGCCAGATTCCTTCATGATCTTTGTCTTGAATGTTCCAAGATGCATTCAATCCCACGCTATGCCGGGCGCGTGACTTGCGCATGTTTTGGTGATGCTGGGACTTGCTACTCTCCTCGTTTCTGAGGTCGCAGGGAGACCCTCACAATGATATCTGGCGACTGCTGACGTTCAGAGCTGTCTTGAACGCTGGTGGCGTGCCACGGTCTTTTGACCTTCTGTGGCTCCAAGCGCCTTGGCAGCCTTGTGCAGTGAACAGCACTAACTGTAACTGTACAATCCATAGATTCTTCGGGCAACCATCTGCCTAGCCCAGTGATGTGATACTATCGGTGAAACTTGTTTCAGCATTTGTGTTCAATCCAGATGTCCAGGCTTGCAAGACACCGAATAATATGCAGCCATCGGTCAAAACCGCTTCCCTTCCTCAAACTGATTAAAGTAGTCCTTGTGGGGATCCATGGTTTACGCAAAACTATGACCGTTGGTTGTGTCGACTGTCACGCTCCTCATTTTTCTTGCTTGGGGGGTCAACAACGCATGACTCTACTCATCCACCAGAATTTGTCAAGAACGCAGGTCGTTGGAGAACCATACAGCTGGCAATCGTATCACAAGACTGAGAAATCAGTCTTTGAGGACTGCGGGTGAGGGGGAATTGGAACTTGTGTCAGCTGTGGCTGCTTTTCCCGCCGTGTGACGCATTGGACGAAATTTTGCCGCATTGATGATGTTGCAGGTTCTTTGTTCCGTACTGTAACTGTGAAGATTCTTTGATTTTTTCCGGGTAGCCAGTGTGGGAAGTGAAATGTGCAGCCTGGTTGGAACCCGGTGTCGCTTGACAAGTAGCTGTAGCCGATATCTTGAGACTTGTCTGACATCATTCGCACGGCGGGACTGCGTTCGGCGCCTCTTTCCGAGATTGCAAGGCTTGGGACAAAGGGCCAGGCCGTGGCATGTCACTTGGCTTGTCAGGGAGATGGGGTAATGTTTTTCTTCATCCCGTATAACTCACGTCGAGACATATCAAGGATGTCGTTAGTATCAACACCAGAGACAGTGACGCAACTTCTTTCGGTTATCGTTAGTATCAGCGCCAAAGACAGTGACGCGACTTCTTCGGTTAAGAATCAGTCGAGATAGAAGTGGTAGATGTTTCTTACAGGCTAGTCTGTTTGCAAATAAAAAAAGATCTTGCATCTAGCACTCGTAGCGTGGCAGAAGGCAGCGGCGGAATTTTCACAAAAGCTAGCGGAAGCTAGCTGGAGTTACTATTGCTGTAGCAAGCTGTCCCTCCGTTGCACGATGTTAGAGTATCTTGCATCCGCAGGTGGGCTCGTAGACAATCATTCATATGTGGTGGCTTTGACGAACTACCATGAATGAATGGACTACCATCAGCGGCCCAGAGCACCGCTCGCCCTCCCTCGCGTTCCTCCACCCCCGCTAGCTTTCGTCACCAACCCCCAGCCTCAAGTTTTGAGATAGGAAATCTGTAGGAGAAGTGATATCCGTTGAGTTTAGAATATCAAAGAGATCAATTGATGCAGTGAAATTTTGTGACTAACCATTTCGCACCCTGCTTGCTGTATTCTATTCTGATCCTTTTACTTGATCTACTCAACGAAGTGTTCCAGATTGAGGTAAAATCGAAAAAGAAAAAGAAGGGCAAGCTCAAGAGCAAGGGCTCGAAGGGCGTGCTGAAAGGCGTGCAGTGGCTGCGCGAGGTGCACCCACGATTGACGCAGTCCGCTGTTGCCCGGATACTGATCCTTGTCTGAAGGTCAACAAATATCTTTTGCCGTCGAGTCGTTCATGAAAGGCCCACAATAGTTTCGCAGGTGGAAAATAGCAGAGACAAGGATTTCCAAATATCAATTTCGGTGTCTTGATGTTCTGCCAATTTAACTGTCAAATCTTCCAACTTATAGCTCAGTTGATGTAAGGTCGCCGAACCATACTTCCGACGCGTTGATTGAGCTTGGATGTGGCCGTCAGTTGCTTCTTGGCCGTTCGCTTCATCCGCGAATTTGGAAGTAGCCAACGAACTGTGTCCGGGAATTTGG